TGGTTTTTTTGTTGCTCTTGGCTGCCGTGTTTTTCGATGTTCCTGGGTGCGGGAGATGGCATTTACATGTCGTTGTCATTTCCGAATTTTCCAACAGGATGTACACACACACTCGCATGAGGGTGGAGCTGGCATCACAAATCGAATTAGAGCTTTGTTGTCCCTTGTTGTCTTATTTGTTTAATTTGTAAAAGGGATGCCTGGGTGCCTGGATGCCTGAGTCCTGTAGCTCTCACCGCCCCCCACTTGGCTTGCTTGTTGACTGCCTGGAATGCCTTTGGCTCAACAAGTTGAAGCAGCCCGCAAAGAGAGAATTTGCATAAAAATTCATGGGCTTAGCCATGAAGCCGAAATGGTAACCCAAAAACGAAAAGGGTTGCCATCAGGCATACACATATAACTGTATATCCAGATCAGTATCCTGTATCCTGTATCCCTGTATCCCGTATCCTGCATATCTGTACAACCGATTAGTGGCAAATTCCCCCCAGCAGCATTAAATCAGCATAATTCTGTGATTTCTCTATGCAATTTCCTTCGAGTCCCTCAAATTTTGATTCAACTTTCCTTTGGTGCCGCTTTGTGGCACGTGACGCTGCGCGGGGTGTTGCGGGGCATTCTCAATGTCAGCAGCAAAAGTAATTTACAATATCGATGCGACATGGCCACAGCCTTGGCTGCTGGATAACTTCCATTTCCGCCACGCCTTCCGCGACCAAGCTGTCAGCTTTTTACCTGGCTTTGGCTTTTCCTTTTCCCCACCTTCTGCTTCATTTTCTTTCCTTCTTTTGCTCTCTGCTTGTATTATTTAAGAGATGCCGCTGCCAATGAGGCAAAGATGAAGGCAACGGTGTTCTCATTACTTAAAAGCGCCGCCAACGTTGATTGAACGAGAGTCGACCGAGCGCGAAGCGAGGGGCTTAAGGGTGCGACAAGGGTGTGAAAAGGTTGTGAAAGTGAAACTGAGAAAAATGATTGCAGCACATTGCTGCAGCTATGCACCATCTCCAAGTCAATGAAAATAAGTCGAACGAGAGAGCATGTAATTCGATTTGTAAGTCGATTATTGCATTCAATCGTTGCGGCAACGTTCGATGCATGTTGATGTATGCCAAGGGCAAAAAACAAGCCTGGAAAAGTAAGTTTTATATATTTAAATGGTTGTAATCGAGCAGTGCCATGCACAGCATTTATCGCTAGTTTTATTCAACGATTTACGAGCTCAGAAAGCAGCAGATCTTACGATCGCTGAGACACTCAATCGATTGCAATCGATTATGATTTCCATCAACAAATTGAATTTCGATGGCCACAGTCTCGAAGTGGCATCCTCCGCTCAATGCTCGACACGTGCATTTATTCACCGCTGAATATTTATCGAATAATGAATAAGTCAGAGTGAGAGGGAGACTGGCGGCAATATAATCCATTAGGCGTATTACCTAAGAAAAAGAGATATAAAATTTATTGAATTGCAGCCAGCCAAGAGGAGAACAGAAACAGAAACAGAAACATAGAGAGAGAAAGTGAGGGATACCAAGACAGAAATACTCGTACAAGAACGCACACGACAGGCGGATGTGGATATTGCGGATGCAGAAAGGATACTTTGGATCCTTTACGGGCAAATTTACGGATGTGCTCAACCGACTTGCAAGCTTGCTACGTTCGCTGCGTTCCCATCTCTCTGCGGATTTGGTTTGGTTTGGTTGTGGCCTGGTCCCATGAATGGGCCAATAAAAAGCAACGCATAAAAATATGAATTTTATGTTTGTGTATTTAAAACGACAATAAGCACCGACGGGACTGTGTGTGCAATGCGTGTGGGGCATTGGGGCAGTGGGGCAGAAGTTAAGCTCAAGTCTCTCCCCCCCACATACACACTGGCAATCAAAACAAAATAAAAAGGTGGAAGAACAACCATAAAGAGGGTGACAGGGAGACGGGGAGACAGGGAGAGAGCAACAAATGCGCCCAGTGAAGCTGAAAAGCAACAAATGGCGAAAAGAGAGAGTGAAAGGCGGAGGAAAATCAGTTTGAATGGCTGCTGGAGCGACAGAGATGGAGGCAAATCAAATTGGAAAATGAAATGGAAACATGATGGCAAAAAAAAAGAGGAGGAAACTTGCCTTTCCTCACGATTCCTTTTCTCTGCGTTTCCCTTTTCCTTTACTTTCATTCCATTTGGTTTTGCCAGGTGAAGACTGTGTCTGGCAGCTGCTGAACATGAAAATGAGTTTTCCTTTTGCCTTTTCTTTGTCAGGCCAGTCAGGCCGAGCCAAGGCAAATAAAAATAATAATAAAATCAGCGCAATAAGCAAGCAATGAAAGCCACCAGAGAATCCACACAGAGAAAGTCAAACAGACACCGAGAGAGGAAGAGACAGAGAGCCAGAGAGAGAGAGAGAGAGGAGGAAGTCATCGATTTATACTCAGATGAGCAATCATAAATATTAATGTTAAATACAGGACCCTGCACCCTGAACTCGGAGGCACCAGAGGGAGCAGGGGGACTCTCTTCCGTGCCATCCCGCACCATTGGCAACTCGAAATGGGGGACCATTGGACCATTGGCACATGATAGGCCCCACTCGCACAGCAGTAGTTGGGGGGATGAATGTCTACCATAAATCTTCAGATAGTAGCACTCCACAAACAAAAAAGAAAGCAGACAGAAAAAGATCTCTCCATTTGGCGACACTGAGGCGCGCTGTCTCCTGATTTATTTGCCAACGTGCAGAACGCACAACGCACAACGCTGCGTATGCTTATTTTTACTTATGCCGCCATATCCCTTGCTATCAATGACAGCGGCTTGATTTTGCATTTAAAAGTGAATTATATATCCGCAGATTTCCCAGTCAGACGACAGCAAACAGACAGCCAAGCCGCGCGGGGCACAAGAGCCGAGGGGGCAACTGTGCAAACATCTTGCCACATGAGCGACAATTTATTTGCATATTTTCATGAGCTTTCAGGCTTTGGGGACGAGTGAGTCGCCTCCTTCTTGTTGGCTTGTTGGTTTACATTAACACCACAATATCGCAAGAACTAATACATTTATCCAGAAGAAACAATTTGGTTGAGAGGCGCTTAAAGAAGTCACCTTCAAATGGCAGATTTATTTGCCACAATATGTCCACAAAATGTTTTCAATTTTAATAATGGAATATCTGGCTTCGTCCATGGGTACTTTTGGGTACTGTTGGGTCTGAGTCATGGAGTTCCACACGAGAAGCCTCGCTCTCTCTTTTAAGTTAGTATGTAAAAGTAGCCCTAAGTGAAAGGCCCTCGTTTGTATGGCATACGAATTTCATTTGCTTTCTTCGCTTTCGCATACAAATTGTTGTAATTTTTTGCGCTGTTTCCTAGTTTGACCCATTTCAAATCGTTATCGAATTAATATTGTGACATATTTGAGTGTCGCATTGATCCCATTATGCGGTGACAGAGACACACAAAGAGAGAGAGAGAGAAAGAGTAGACAAACCGCAGAATCCACTGCCAAGCCCAAAGCGTGTGCTCCTACCCCACGCAGCCCTCTCTCGCTCCTCTCCACGCCTCGCCACGCTCTGTTTGTGTTTAATTATGTACGTAGTACACATGTGAGTGTGTGTTTGTGTGTGTTTACATGGCTGCCATATGCTGTGCCTGTGTCGTACAAGGCTCTTACATTTCTGATATTCTGACTTGAATTTCATTTCTGTAGTTTTTGTGTGCCCAGTGCCCGTGTCCCTGTGTCCCCGTGTCCCTTTCCTAACATTTTTCGAACGGATATCGAAAACTTTTGTTTTGTCACACTTTTGCACGTGTGTGTGTGTGTCCATTGTTTGGCTACAGTTCCGCTTCCGCCCGATAAACAAATGGCGCCAGTCAACGATTAATTATTTTGATTTCCAGACTAGACAGACACTGGCAGGACACGTGTCCCACGCCGGGGCTTATTGGCAGTTGTTTGTTCTGTTCTGTTCACAATCATAAATAGTCGGCCTACTTGCGAGAGAGCATGAGCCATGAAGATTGATGGCCAGTTATCGTTAGTCGATACGAGGGCAGTCAGTTATTGGCTGGAGCAATCACAAATCGATTGCTCTTTCTTTTCGGTGGACTCTGAACTTGTGGGCACAAAGAAATGGCAAGGCATGAATCGTTTAAGCGATTGTTAGGCCAACACCGACTAGCCCCTTCATTTTGATGAATATTTCTGCAGCGGTGTGTGTGATTCAACTATTTAGCTATTCAATCGAGGCCCAACAATGCCAACAAGTAACTCGAGCAAATAATTCTCAATATCTCAATTACTTCCAATGGGAGTTCTTTTGGTGGGCTGCCAGCGAATTCCCTTCCCGTTGTGTGTTGCTATGCTGTTGCCTTTTGTGGTTTGCTGAGCCTATCAATAAACCAATTTTCACACAATTTTCCCTAACTTTCTCCCTTGTGTGTGTGTGTGTGGGTGTGTGGGGGAGTGAAGGAGTGTGAGTTCCTGTGCCAAAAACCACAACGAAGCACTTTTTGGGGCCCCGTTAATGTGTGCACACAACCACACACACAGACGAGACGTAATTAATGATTGCACACATACACACACGCACACACACACACACACACACGCACACACACACACACACCTACAAACCCTCTCTTGCTTTGCTCTCGTTTGGCGCCCAAATGTATGCTACGCTCCTTGTCTGTGAACACAAAATATGCTGCTCATTATTTTCACGCACTTCCCGAGCCACACACACACACACACACACACACACACATAGAACGTGTGTGAGGTACACACGTGCGTATAAATTATGTTTTTGGCTTCATTATGTGGCAGGAGGCAGGCATTAAAAATCAATTCAAGCCCGTGGCTACGTTGCCAAGTGCCCCGCCCAGCAGCGGCATAATTTCATATTGGATTTTAATGACTCGACTAATCGCCTTTCTCTCTCTCTCTCTCTCCCTCTTTTCTCTTCTCTTCTGTCTTCTGTTTTTTGGCTCATTTTCAGCCATCAGCCCACACAATGGAATGACCCACGCTGCCGCCGGTGGCCCAGACGTTCCATAGCCAGAGGAGAATGCTGCCACAGTTAGCCGCAGCAGCAGCAGCAGCAGCAACACTTCAGCAAACACAAGCAGCGGCAGCAGCAGCAACAGCAACAGGCAGGAGCAACATTCCGTGTGGGAATGGCCAGCGACGTCGCGTGGCAGCAGCAACAGACGGCTGCAACAACGATTCGAAGCACAACAAAAGCAAAAGCAAAAGCAATAAAAGCAACACCAGCACCAGCAATAGATTAAATCAAATGCATTCCAACGAAGAGCCGCCCATGACGGTGATCGTCGATGGAGGAGGAGCAGCAGGCGGAGGCGGAGGCGGACAACAGCAGCAGCAGCAGCAGCAGAAGGTGCCTCGCAGTGGCAGCCAAAGATTGCGTAAAACGAGTTCCTCCAGTGCCAAGGCATCGATACCAGTACCTGCAACGGCAACAGCGACAGCGACAGCGACAGCAACAGCTGGCAGCATGCAACGCGCACATCGACAACCATCGAACGCCTCCGCGACAGCCAGCTCCGATTCGAGGAGGCGTCGCTATACGGGCAAGTCGGAGCGACACGATCGCCAGGACCGACAGGAGCGACACGAGCGGCACGAACGCCAGGAGCAGATGCCACGCAGGAGAGGCGGACGCAGGCACAGTGGCGCCTCCTCGCTGAGCGATGCGGTAGCCAGTGCCGGCGGCCGCGGACGCCATCGTCGCGAGACGAGATCGGGTGCCATCAGCTCCTCAACGGCATCCAGTTGCAACGGCAGCTGCAGCTCCGACGATGGCGACTCCTCGCACACGTCGTCCTCATCATCGTCCAGCTCATCGGGCGAGCCGAATCTGCCGTATCCGGGCTTCCCCGAGATATCCATGAAGGCCCTCACGCAATACACGCGGCCACGCAACTGGTGCCTGATGCTCATCACGAATCCATATCCTTTTTTTGCACAAACAAAAACATGGGCTAAAAGGGGGAACCAGGGGGGATGGGCGCGCTCTAATTGCCATTGTCCTTCGCTGGCGTTTTACCCCTGGGTGCCGTGTGCCGTGTGCCGTGTGCCGTGTGTCTGCGTCTGCAGTGTCCTTGCACACAGATTTCACAGGATGTGCGCTGTGTGTGAGAGCTGAGAGCCTATTGATTTTGCACTTCCTTCTTTTCCCATCCTCTTTCTGTGTGTGCAAACTTCACTATTGCATAGGCCTAAGGACACAGCACACCACAGAGAGGGAGAGCTGCCAGCAGCTTTGAAATATTATTTCCATGAAGGCGTGGCCCTACGGGTATTGGAGGGAAACTCAACTGGAAATAGTGCTCATGCTAGATGCATTTTTGAGTGCAGGTTTCCCCTCTAAATATTGAAATATATATTCAGATCCTGGGATGCCAGGGATGTTCTCGATATGTCTGTCTGCCCACAAGTAAACCAACAGAAAGTAACCAATAGGTAAAACAGTTCGTTCAACTGCGAATCGAAGAGTATTCCACATTTTGCTTGGGGCAAATTCAATTTGGTTTCGGTGTGGAGCATAAATAATAAATATCTGAATGGGCTTCAATATGGATGGATTCTTGTCCCCTGTCCCCTGTCCCAGTGCCTTCTTCCGTTGTTGTTGCTGCTTTTGAGCTGTTCTCATTTTCCGCACTTCATTCATTTTTCGTTGGCGTGCGGGCTGGGAGTGCGGATAAAGTGCGCCAATCGGTGGCTCGTATATCGCACGACACGCTGGAAGATGATGCTCCTGTTTGTGCCCCATGCCACATGCCTCCCTGCTCCATGTGGGCGTTTATTTGTGTGCATGAAAAATCGCTTTGCATATCGCTTTCCCCAGTTCCTTGTTCCCCGTCCCACGTACTTCACATTTCATTTCGAGCGAAATTAAAATTGACTGACGTTGATATTTATTTATGCAGCAGCCATGACACACACACACACACACACACACACACACACACACGCGCGAGTTAAAAGACGCCGCCACAGTCACTGCCGACTGTGTGGAGCGATAAATTATGATAATTGAGTTTAGGCGGCAAGGCAAACTCATTCCACTGAGCAGATACATATATTTAAGGCCTCCTGCGGCTAAATGGCTTTGGCTTGATGGCTTCGATTATCCACTTTGATATGCCCCCTGCCCCTTGCATCTACCCAACATAATCGCTCTCTCGACGCTTTGCCACTTAATTGTTTGCCATCAATTTTCGATTTTTGTCTTTGTTTGCGCCATTTCATCAGGGTGTCTCCTGTCTCCCTCCTCCCTTTCTGTATGTCGCTGACATTTTATGGATTTTATTGTCGCTGTGGCTGCTACCTTGGCAGTCAGAGACGGACACGGAGACAGGGATCTGCCTCTCCCCCAGCGGCAATTATTCTTTATCGGTTGCTGGCATTCAATTGTGCGTTGGGGGAAAATCTCTTTTGCAACTTTTCTCTGCTTGCATTTCGAATTGGACAAAACTAATTTAAGTTCCTCTTTTGTTGTCCGCTTGGGCTTCCGCCTGGCGACATTCGTCTCGTGTTTCGTCTGCGGCCAAACTGCAGCGGAGGTCAGGGGACACGGTGTCTCAGCGGTGCTCAGAGACATTTGTGCCAAAAAGTTAGAGTAGTCGTCGTCTGAGTGTCGCCTGCTGAATGGCCTTGCGTATCGATGGCGTATCTGCCCCACCGCTCCGCCTCCCTTGCAGCCCGAAAGTGTAATCAAATACGAGACAACTCGGCCTTGGAGCTGGGCCACATGGCAGTCATTCGAGCAGCCATCGGACACACAGTGGGGCAGTGGCAGCTACCTAGCGAAGTTTCCACTTTGGGCATTTTACGGCGCTTTTAGCGTGAAATGTGTGCCTTGTTGGGGCACGTGCAACATTGCATGCAAGGCCACACGGGGGAAAACGTACTACCCCGGCCGCTACTCGGCGGAGTCATCAGCATCTGGCTGCATCCTTATGCGGTTGCTCCGCATTAGGAGCATGCGGGACACGCGGACATCATTAGCATGGCGTGTGCCCTGGCCCTGGCTTTGGGGTAATGTGACGCCCATAACTAATTATGACATGCAGCAGGGGCCAGAGAACGTGAACCGTATTCATATACCAAAAAGGACACGCCTTCTGGTGAGCCACAAGCCATGCGGGGCAGCCCTAACAGTCAGCTATCTGGAAGAATTTCCATAAAATTCCTTGGCGCTTTCTTTCCAAGTTGTTCTCTGGGCCGATCGATTTTCATTTGGTTTTGCCATGGAATGCTCCATCGATGACGTGCGTTGTCCTGCCGCTTCGAGTGCGGAGGGAACTTTACTTTCGCTTGATATCATCGCATGAAACCAATTAAATTCCATCGCTTTCCCTGGGCCACACACAGAGAGAGACGAAAACTTTTGGGTCGCTGTCAGGCCAATTTATCGCAAGCTCTTTCTCTTTTTTTCTCTCAGTTTTCTTTGCAGTTCTTTTGAACAGTTCTTTTTTTACCAGCTTTTTCTTGGTACTCGGTACCGCTTTTCCATTTGCTGTTTTGCACCTCTTCAGGGCATTCGCCCTGTCCACCCCCAAATTCGCTTTCATTCGTGTGTTCAGAAATATTCTCAATGCACATCCCTTAGTCTTAGTCCCCTCAATCCACGCCATGGCTTTTGCTCGCTGAATTTTTGGGTGGTTTGGGTTTGAGTTTTCGCTGTTGCCTTTTGTTTTTGTGGGTCTTTTAATTTGTTGCGATTTCTGCACGCTTGCATGCGTTCCTCCATGCGTTCCAGTCCCTGTCCCTGTCCCTGTCCCTGTCCCTGCCACACTTTCACTGCCTGCCTGCTGCCACCTCCCGTTGGCCGACTTTACGCTTGACTTAATTTGTTTACTGTTGGGTTTTGGGGGCCATCGCTGTTGCCAAATCAAAAATAATGCTCGCACACCCGAGAGTCCTCTCCATGCAGGCCACACTGTACAGGCCCGCACGGCCCACCCTATTGAAATGAAAGCATCGACACTGAGTCGATGCTGCTCCTCTGCTCGCTGCTCGCTGATGTCGCATGGGTTTTTGCTGCCACTGCTGCAATATTTACGCTCTACCTGCCCCTCCCACAGTTCGCCTGTACTCTACGCTTTTCGCATTTGTTTTTGTATGATGACAGCCCATGGCCCCACCCCAATCACCCAAATCTGCCGCTGCCATTGCCGACCCCGACCTGGGTCTGACCTGCATGCATCCTCCTCTTGCTCCTCCTCCTCCGCCCAGTATTACTGCTGCCCGCTGGTCCTTCTGCGCACTCTGTGGCTCCTAATGAATTGCTGGACTTTTTTTTTTGGGGCTGCCTTAACTGCTGCATGCAGCTCTCTCTCTCTCTCCTCCTCCTCCTCCCTCATCCCATTGTGCTGCACGTTTTATCTTTAATTGTGCGTTAATAGCGTAAACATTTTTGCCATTTTACCAGTCCCAGTCCCAGCTGTCGTCTGTGTGTGTTCGCTTCTTAATTGCACTGCCATTCCCATTCCCCATCTCCATTCGACATAGGGGCAGAAAGAATGAGTCCTTGGCGCTCATTTGGCAATGCATTAAGGCAGCTTGGGCTGGGGCATGGGCTTGGTCCTGCTTCTGGCCTTGTGCGGTGGCTCTTGGCGAGTGCCGTGTGTGGCGGGTAACGGGCAACGGGCAACGGGTAGCGAGTGGCATGTGGCGAGTGTTTACCCAATCCTAGTGTGTGCAGCAAGCTTTTAGACGACAAGTGCCAGCTGAGGGTACTGCATCAGGTGGAATGCATCATCAGCATTCATACACACACACACCCAGTGCATATTCATCCTCAGCCTCCTGCTCCTGCTCTTGCTCTGGGCCTGGGCCTGGGCCGTCAGTGTAGCACTCTCCTTTCCTGTCCGAATCGAGCCAGAACGTGATCGAATCGAGTGGCTTGTTGGCGGGGACAATGCGTGAATAAAAAGCACTGACTTGATGGCCAGCCGTCATCAGTTTGCTCCATTTGAAGCGTGCCGGCGAAGAAGTTCAAGGAAGGTCCAACCCAATCAACTTCTAACGATATCGACGCAGCAGTTACCCCCACATCTAGTTTTAATGGGCACGGATGTAACTTTCTCTTTGTTGTTTAGCTTGAAGATTGTCTGTGGCCCGAGGAGCGCTGCTGCATGACGCGCGACACTACTAAGGCACAATCTAACATCTTCCGCATTGTGCACAGCAATTTGTGTGCCTTTCGGAGCATACCCATCCCAAGTGCAGGGTATAACCACAACCGAAACCATGCCAAACGAGAGAGAAGCAACCGACAAGCGACAAGCCGCAACGATGTGGTGCTGGGGCTGCGGGATGGCAGGAGTGTGATGCTGGAGCAGATCAGCCAAGTTGACAAGCACTTGAGTGCGCATTAGAGGCGACTGCAAGTTGTTATCCCCTCCATCCAGCTCCAGTCTGCTCCAGTGCACACTTCACTGCAGCATCGCTCTTGGCATTTCCCTCTTCATAATTTGTCTTGGTTTCCATCCTTAACTAAATCTGCATCATTTGCATCGATTGGGATCTGCGCACGTGGTTCGAGCGTGTCTCCATACTGGTCATCCTGCTCAACTGCATCACTTTGGGGATGTACCAGCCCTGCGTGGACGATGCCTGTGTCACGAATCGCTGCAAGATACTGCAGGTGAGTACCAGCTCCATTCCCCTTCCAGCTATTCCTCTCACCTGGGTGCCTGGGTGCCTGGGTGTCACATTAAGTGCCATTTATTTAAGCCATTTTTTGGCTCACTTCCTGTTGTGACCGCCTCACTGCCTGCCTGCCTGCCTGCCTGATGACATCAATCGAGGCACTTCGGCTCATTAGACAGCGCCGCAACACGGCAGGGGTGCCACTAAGTGGGGCATGGTGATTGGGGGGAGTGTCAGGCAATTACAGAGCGTGGCCAAAATGTTACCGAGAGACAGGGAGAGAGTAGCGACGCAACGTGCCAAAATGTCTGTAAATGATATGTAAGCCAAGCGACATTCTGGCCGCACTCAAGTGTAAAGCAAGACGAGACCAGGACCAGGACATCCAGCAGGACCCGCACAACGACAAAGGACAAAGGACACAGGGTTGGGGTTGGGTCTGAGACAAGACAAGACAAGACAGGGCAGGGCACAGGGCAGGGCAAGGCATCGCCAATTTTGGCACACAGAACAAAGTCAAAATGACAACGACAGCCACACAGTGACATAAGTGGGCCGACACCCTCTCCAATCCTGAAAAGAGGCGCCCAAAAATAGCTGGAAACAAGTTGAAGGAGAAGGCCAAGCCGTGCAGGGAAGAAACAGTTCAGGACAGAGACAACTCTGAGACTGGGGGTGGCAAAAAAGATGACGATGATGTCGCCAAGGCAAACTCATTTTGTGTGCCATCGCCCGTCTGCTGTGAATGTGTCCTGATGGGGATGTCCTTGCCGTCTTGATGTCATCAAAAGCAGGTGGAGCACATGGAGCATAATTTTAGCCAACGCCACACATAGTCGTTAGTGGCTGGCTGGATAGTTTTAATTTGATCAACTGTTGAAAAGGCGCAGAAAATAGGACCATCCCTTGTACTTCTAACTCAAACTGTCTCCCTGTCTGTTTTATGCAGATCTTCGATGACATTATCTTTGCATTCTTTGCCCTGGAGATGACCATCAAAATGGTGGCCATGGGCATGTGCGGCAAGAACACATATCTGGCGGACTCGTGGAATCGTCTGGACTTCTTCATCGTCCTCGCTGGCCTGCTCGAGTATGTGATGCATGTGGAGAATCTCAATCTGACGGCCATACGAACGATTCGTGTGCTGAGACCACTGCGGGCCATCAATCGAATACCCAGTAAGTGCCGTGGGCCGTTGGTTCCCCACCCGCAATCACTCAAACAATCGGTGATTCGTTTTGCAGGCATGCGGATCCTTGTGATGTTGCTGCTGGACACGCTGCCCATGTTGGGCAATGTCCTGCTGCTGTGCTTCTTTGTCTTCTTCATATTCGGCATCATTGGCGTTCAGCTGTGGCAGGGCATCCTCCGGCAGCGTTGCACACTGGAACAGCCCGAGGGCATGATCTATCCCATCACGTGAGTACTCGCAGCGGTTCACGCACGGGGAGTGCTAAAGTCGAGGGGGGGGGGGAAGGGGGGGAAGGGCTAAGGTCTAATGGGTTTGGTTTTGTTGATCGTTGAAATGGGTTCAAGAATTTGGCCGGTGTGCGAGGATGCATACGTTTTGTGTCTCTGTCTGCATCATACATAAATCTGCATCTGTCTCGTACATACTCGTACATTCTTACATACATATATGTATGTATGCCGTATACTGTACATAAATATATATATATATTATATATATATATATATTATATATATATCTGTTGTGTGTGTTGATTTTGTTTTGATTTGCTTTGTCCATCATCTAAGCAACATTTCGACAGTGGAGGAGCCACTTTCTTGTGCTTCTGTTGCTGTTGTTTTTGTTTGATTTTTGCTTAGCTTTTTGCCCTAAAGCCCCACACCCACACACACACACACACACACACACACGCAGCCTCTGCCAAATTCTGTCAATTTTGATGAACTCTGCGCTGTGTTGCACTCGTTGTCTGTCTGCCCGCTCTGTCTGTTCGTCTGTCTGTCCATCCGTTATCCGCTCCCAGATCCATCCATTTATCCCATTACGCCCCCACACGCTCTGCATGGCGGCTGGCATACTCCGTGTACACAGAGCCAGAACAGCGAGCCAAAGCTTGGACACAGCGCTGGAATAATTTCTCCTGCAGTAAATGGTCGTTCACGATGCTGGAACTTCACCACACAACTCCCTGAGAGCTGGTTGGCAAATATTATAAACTAATTTGAAGCCTAAAAATGTGCACAACGCTTTTCGGTTCAATGATTTGCAAACATTTTCTTTGAGAATTTTTAAGCTTGGCCCCAAAACAATCATTTATCATCGAAGCCGTGGGCCGGCACACACACAGCTAACACACACACACACACACATGAGCAGCGAATCCCCTTGAAGTAGAAGTGCAGAAGCTTAGCTCAAGGAACCCCCACAATGTCCCCCCCTCCGACCAACAATCCACCAACCCACCAGCGATTATGTTTTGTGTGTTTTGCTTTGTGGAGCGCTCTCTACCCTTCCTTCTTTTGCTGTTTCTGTTTCTGTTTCTTTTGCTTTGTTTCATTGTTTCCTTGTTTGTTTCTTTGCTCTTTCGTTTGCTTACTTCCGCATGCTCTCCTCAGCTGTGAATAATGTTTGTTCACACAGCCAAGACCCAGTACCGAAGCTCACACACGCGTATGTGTGCCTGTGTGTGTGTGTGTGCATTTTAAAATGTATTTTCGATGCAATTCCACAGCATTGTGGCTCCAGTTTTGGCTCTCTCCCACGGTTGGCATACTCGTTAATTATTTCACATAACTGTATTTGCGTTGCCCCCACCCCACCGCCAACATTTTGCATTCAATTTTTGCATTTTTCATTGCCATTTTTATTGATTTTATACCCGGTACTCGAAGAGTAAGTAGTGTATATTGTATTTGTGTGAAGGAAACGCTTCCTTCATTTCCTTCCTATATAAAGTATATAAATTCTTGATCAGCATCAATAGCCGAGTCGATAGAGCCATGTCCGTCCGTCCGTCTTGTTTGTCGAGAGCTAGAGCCACCAAAATTGGTGGGCCTACGTTAAGCCCGGCAAGCTAACGAAGCGTGTTGGTGTGTGAAGTGTTGTAGATGCAGATGACAGATGAACAAAAACATTTAAAACTTGACTGCTGAGTGCCGGGTATGAAAGTTGTGACGCGTAAGAAGCGTCTCACACGTCCCTTCTCGTTTTGTTGGCTTTTTCGGGCCTGAGGTAATTTTCCTTCGAATTAAATAAAATGCCTGTAGCTTCAATTTTCGATTTAATTTCTTTTTGCTATTTAATGAATTTCATTTGTAGCCCCTCTGCCTCCGCCCCTCTGCAGCTCGAGTGCTGCAGTTGCTGAACATTATTTAGCTCCTTGTCCACACACACACACACACACACACACTCGCACTCACGTGGATATTTATTGTGTTTAGTTTTTGTTTTAAACATATTTTTGTGTGCGTTTTTTGTCCACTTCACATTCCACTCGCAATAAGTGTTGCCAAGTGCCAGGTGGGAGGTGTTCCTCTCCTCAAAGTCATGCTGTATATACGCTGATACACCCACCCACCCATGCACACACACATACATGGACACACACACACACACACACTCACAAAACAGCAACAGACAGGGGCCAGCGATTTGTACGGATCAGCATCTCAATGGCCAAAAAACAACAGAACAAAAAGAAACTTGCAATGACCAGGCCACGTGTGTACATAATATGTATACATATACATATTCTGTTAGAGTTTTGTTCTTAGTTTCCCAAATCTAAATATCTACATTTATTTTTTGGTTGAGAGACAATATACGAGAAAACCAACAGAAATGCCCACAAAAACATATAGTGTCAAAGAAGTAAAAACTCTCCTCTCTGTTTTCTATATGTATATTCTGTTTACTTAAGTTTTCGAGTGTTACAAAAACCAAAACACACACGCAAAAAAGAAACATACCAACTTACAAATAGTCGTAGAAAGTAATTCTCTCGTTGGAAAAAAAAAAAAAAATAAAGTAGAAATGCAGAAAAATGAAATGAAACAAAAACGAAAATCATACCGGGAACAAATTTTTTGTTTACAGGGGACTACCTGAAGTGTACAGAGTTCGAGTCCGTGTTAACTCGTAAGATAAAATGATTTATTTTTCCCCCCTTTTAACCTAACCCACACACACAAACACGGAAACACTGAAACACATACACCAACTACCACATGTAAACCACCTTTAAACACACACACACACACACACACAGACACGAACAGAAGAAGACGAAATAAGACACAAACCGAATTCTAATAGCCGTAAACTACTTGCTACTAGTGTCCCACTAATACCAATACTAATACTACTTATACTAATACTAGATCCTGTCTCTATATACTCTTACTTGTACTCAAATAAATGTAATCTATCTAAGCTCTGTCTCTAATCTGTTAAACCCACCCCTGTAATAGCCCACGCTAATTCGTCTCTCTGTTAACCCTGTTAACCATCCTCTACTATAATGCGATGTTCTCTGTACTAAATCGCAGCGCACTCTCTCACACACCCACACAAGGAGACACAGAGAGCCCTGCTGAGAGCTACTCTACTCGGCTCTCTCAGGGCTCTCTCGAACCAACCCCCTTTTTGAAAACTCTACTTCCCAGCTACCAAGCTCGCTCTTTCCTTAAACGATCAGCGATGAGGGTTGAGCGGATGACAAAGATTTACTCTTAGAGTCTCTGCCGAATCCTCATGGACTCCACTCGCTCTCTCACTCTCACTCTCACTCTCCCTATTCCTCTCTACACAAAGACACACGTTTGATACTCGACACAAAACACAAACACTCTCTCTCTCTCTCTCTCTGTCTCTCTCTAGTAAATGTGCATAAATACTCGTACTCAATACATAGTTAGTAAAGTAAAGTAACACAAATAAAAATTGTGATAGCTCTCTCTCTCTCTCTCTCTCTCTACCTCTGTCTCTCTCTATAACTATACATCTACTCTTCTCTCTCTATACGTATACGATATACGAAACTATGCTAAATACTCGCAACAACTAGACAACTAAACAACTCGTCAAAACAGAATAGCTGTCTCCACTCCCGTTACTCGTTACTCGTTACTCGTATCGAATCTCTATATATATATATATATGCTCCCGTCACCACACTATACACAACTGTACCACAGCAGAACCTTTGACCCAAGTGCTAGTCCTAGCCCCAACAAAACATCCTCAAAGTAGACCACAAATATACCCATAAATAACACTCTACTCGATTTATGGTACTCGTTTGTTTTTGGTTGTTAGCTTAGCTCTATATTGTACCCATACATAGACCCCGTAGACGTACATATCTACCATTTGCTATTTGATATTGGAGCCATAGACTTGATGTTGATGTTGATGTTGATGTGGCACCACTTGAACCCGATCTCCACTCTCTATCCAAACTCTGCCACTAAATCTAACCAAACCACACGCCAACAAAAACACACACACACACACACGAATGCAACGATATCTAGAGTACATACATATATATGTGTGTATACATAAATAAGAATACATACTGGTAGTGCTAGTATATGAAATTGAGGCCACAGAGTGGCAACATTTCTCTCCTCTATCTCAACTTTACCCTAACCCCCAAAACCTCCAACCCCCTGACTCTGTTTCAGTTGCAGTTTCAGTTTCTGTTTCACTTGTGTTGCGTTTGCCAAATTTTCGTTTTCGTTTTGCAATTTTCTGTTTCATTTTTGACACACAAATATGACATGTTGCAGCAGTAAACCCTAGACACCCCGACTCCCAGACACCCAGGAAGCAACAGCAATCCAGCAGCAGCATCAGCACTGAAAAACATAGTGAAAAAACAGAAATAACAACCATACCAATTAGCAACAACTCGTTGAGCAGCTCGACTACAAGTCAGTGTGCCTTTAGAAGCATGAATGTATTTCGTTTAGCTTCTCCTTTTTCATGCGCTGAGAGCAACAACAGCCGCTTTCACTCGAGTTAATGATTAGTAAAAAAAGAGAAAAGGTTGAAGCAACTACTCAACCCTAGGTGAAGCTTTCAATGGAAGGAAGTCTTCTAGTTCCCAGTTTTAAATAGCTAAAAATGATCACACTGAGCACACCACAAGGTTATCATCCTCTTGGCTATTCGATACTCGAACTTTCACTGTGCTCCTTATCATTTTGCTGGAGTTTTCACTGTAGAAGCTGCCAAAGCTGATGCTGCTGCTTTGCACTGGGGCCACACTCGCATTCACTTAATTATTAATTCTATTTTTTGTTCGTTTAAAAGCAAAAGTTTCGCTCCACACACACACACACACGCATACGCCCACAGATACATAGGAATATTGCAGAATACACACACACACACACAAAGACACAGCAGCTGTAGCAGCACCCCAAGACCCCCAAAGCCACCGCAATCCACGCACACTCGTTGCCTGCCTGTGTGTATGGTGTGTGTGTGTGTGTGTGTCTTGCTGTGTGTTTGTGGGCGTATGTATCTCTTGTAAGCTGAAATCTTTTTACAGGAAAAACCATCAGTTTCTATTGCAAAGGTATTTAAAGCTGCCCCCCGTCCACGCCACTCTACTCCCAACCACAAAGACCCAAAAAACATTCCAACTTTCGCTCTCGTCTACCGCTCTCCCTATCAAGTCACATGCCAACAAATCAAGTACAGTAATTACACAAACACATACATGCATAAGCACACACACACACACTCAAACTCACACTCACACATGAAGAAGTTCATAAAGTTTAGCATACGGCAGTGAAGCGTGCAAATTGCTGCGATTTCTGCAAAAAGAAATGTATAGAAAAGTTACACAAGAAACATTAAAATAAAGGAAGAAGGAGAACACAACTACAAAAATATTTGAAATTCCACTTGCGGTGCTGTGCCCCCCGATGACCCCTTCCACTCACCCTTCACTCAGTCTCAGTGTCAGCGTCAGCGTCTCTTCGCCTCTCTCTCTCTCTCTCTCTGCTCCACTTCAGTTCAGGCCACTCCACTCACCTCCACCTGCTGGGTGGCAGGAGTGTCGTCTGCCAGTGTCAGAGCCGTGCCTCCACGTGCATATTAAACACATTTTATTGTCACACACGGCGACACACTTACACAAACACACACACGGTTGACACTCGGTTGATGGTGACTTTTTTTTTTTTTTTTTCATTTTTTTTCTTTCATTTTTTTTATGTCTCGCTCCTGATGTTTCCTGCTCCGGCTGCTACCGCGTCGGCCATTTTGTGGCAACATTGCGCGTTTAATTTAAATTGCTTTGGCGTTTTTATTTCCCTTTTTTATGTCCCACCATCCTTGCCATCATCCCTTATCCCCTGCTCCAGCCCAGCCCCAGCCCCAGCCCCAGCCCGTTCACAAAGAGTTTTGCTTTGTTCTAAGTTTTTCTTAATTATTTTTTTTTTGTTAGTTTGTGTTTTAGTTTGCGCTTTGTGCTTCGTTTTATGCCTTTGGGAGCCATCTCTCTGTCTCTCTCATTCTCTCTCTATTTATCTCTCTGTGTGTCTCTCTCTCTCTCTCTCTCCGGTACAGTTGTGTCTTTGCCGTGGTTGACTGTACTTAAGCTTACTCACTCGCTCGCTGCGCGCTTACTATCGCTCTCTAGCTCTCCCACTTACTCTCTCACTCTCGCCCTGTGTCTGAGTGAAGCTATAGCTTTCTCTTTCTCTCACTCTCACTCTCACTCTGTCTCTGTCTATTGCTCTATGTTAGCTTGGCTTGATGAAAGCTCTAAGCCACATGCTCTCTATCGCTCGCTTTCACTCGCTCGCTATCACTCGCTACTCGCTTACTCTGTCTGTAACTCTTTTGCATTGGTCAGCCGTGTCTCACTCTCACTGTCTCTCACTACTCTTTAGTTTTTGCCTCACCCATTGGCCGTCTCTGTCACTCTAATTAGTTGAATGTTCTCGTGTAGCTGCGTGTGGCACGCGTGAGCAGATCAAGCCATGAAACAACAAAAAAAAAACAACTACGCACACAATCTCTCTTCTGCAGAAATCAAAATTTATCGATTTATCGATCATTAATCGCTCTTTTTTCCCACATCTCGATGTATATGTTTACGATAAACGCATAAACATATCGAATAAACTTACTTGAACTTGATATGAACCACGAATATTAATTGTACTTTTTGTGCTCTCTCTCTCTCTCTCTCACTCTCTTATCTTTCTCTCTTTTTCTCTGTAATTTCTCTCCTTCTCTCTCTCTCGTTGTCTCTTTGCTCTCGTGTGATCTTCTCTTTCGTACACTTTGTTTCTGTGTGTGCTGGATGTTTCGATTTCATTTAAAAAATCGCATCACATGACTTATTCTCTATCCACATGTGCAGCCTATCGCAGTACTACGAGTTCTCCAAGGATCAGGATTACATCTGCTCCACGCCCACCGACTCGGGCATGCATCTCTGCGGCAACTTTCCCCCCTACCGCAGCGGTTCCCTGGTCTGCAACGGTAAGTGGAGTCCCCACTCCTCCATCCCCACTTCTCCTCAATTACATTAACTTTAAAGCTAAATGAAGTGCAAATTGCGCCGTAATCAAATTTGATGGCGTTTTTAATTGCTCTCCCTCGAGGTTAATGATGAGCTTAAGTTCAGTAACAGCAGCAGCAGATTCAGCAGCAAGAGCAATCACAATTACAACAATACTGACAGCAAACTCCTCTCCGCACTCTCACTCTCACTCTCACTCTCTCCCTCTCCCTCTTTTCCTTTTCGCAGAGGAGGCCAAGCTGTTCGACTTCAATGAGCCGACAAACACCTCGTGCGTTAACTGGAACCAGTACTACACAACGTGCAAACAGAGCGGCGAGAATCCCTTTCAGGGCACCATATCCTTTGACAACATTGGCATGGCCTGGGTGGCCATATTCTTGGTGAGTGCTCGTTCTCATTCTCATCCTCATCCTCATATTTTATTGGGAGTTTAATGTGCTCTAGAGGATCGAAAAGAGTGTTGGCTAATGGCTAAACAATTGCAGACTTGACTGGAGTAGTCTTAATTGTTGAACAATTGCAATCAAACATTTATCTGCACTTGGTTTTGTTTCATGGCGACAATTTAGACCCTCCTCTCTCTGTCTCTGTCTCTGTCTCTGCTTCATCGTCTGTCCGATTTCCAATTAGTGTCCAACTTTGCTCAACAACAGCGCGCGGAGGAGCATGCAAAACGCGCCACCATGTTGCAACTTCGCTGTGGTGGCATCGCTTTCAATAAACCCATAGAACAAAGCATCCAGGGAGGGACAGTGGCAGTGACAGGGACCCCTCCAACAACGACGTAGACCTCGCTGCTGTATCAATTTCAGGGAGCGAAAACTTTATCAAGCGGAGGATGGATAGTTGTGATAGGTTCGCGTTAGTTATGCTCCCAGGATAGCCCTCAGCTTCCCTTCGCTAATGAGTGGCCCTCACGTTTCAGGCATTAATTGATATGCCAATTAGAGAGGGCGCACAGACCGCACAGACCGTAGACCAGAGTCCATTGATATGCAGGTCAAACGATGTAATTAATTCCAAATCAAGTGCACATTAAGCTATGAGCCTGCCAAGGCATGGGCTATGCTCCCCGCACATATTTCATTCAGTTACGAGCTAAGCCTCCCATCCCATCCCATCCAATGATTGGCTCTTATGTTGGAGCTCCAAAAAACAAAAAGGAGAAGTGAGATTACTAGACATAAGTGGAACTCTGCACTGAAGATGAGCCAAAGATGGATGGGCTTTGTTTTAGTTAGTTGAAGCTTTCAACAGGTATTGTCTCTGGCATGCCCAATCGACAGGATCCTGAGCGCGGGTATCGCCGAACATTACGCATACGTGACGTGGTGCAGAAGGCCAAAAGGCAAATCCTAATTGCTCCGCCCACGCCTGACCACGCCTAGCCACGCCTCACCACGCCCGAACCATGGCACAGCACAATGGCAGAGGCAGAGGCAGGGCCAGGGGCGAGAACAATAAAAGGCAGCTAAAGCCAAACGCCTTCATATGCATATTCGCCCGTACATTTAGCCTCAATTTTATATCATGCATGTGTATTGTATCCTTGTGTGTGTGTGTGTGTGTGTGTGTGTGTGTACGCTAATTATGGTGAAATATTTGTTGGATTTGCAGGTCATCTCGCTGGAGGGCTGGACGGACATAATGTATTACGTGCAGGATGCGCACAGCTTTTGGGATTGGATCTACTTTGTGCTGCTGATTGTGGTGAGTGCTATGCTGCCCAACTTTTGATCACGAGTTGAATATTCAATGACGGGCTGGGTGCTGCAGTGGGGAGGGATATGCCTGGATTGCTGTATCCAAAAGTATTCTAAAGCAATTTGCCAATGTAAATAAGTAAATTACTTTTCAACTATAGCCAAAAAACAGACAGCGCCCGAAAGCTTACAACAATTAATACATAAAATAAAGAAAAAGGAAAAAGGACACCCACTGCCCAAATATGGCTTTAAAATATGGAAATATCTAGCAACCCCATGAAGTGCGAGTACATAAAATATTGGACTGGTATTGCTGGTCTATGTGAAACAGAATCTGCAACTGAACTCATTTTCTGCGAGTGTACAAATTCATGATGCTGTTGCGCTGTCGACCAGCATCTGGCAGCATGTTGCAGTGCAGACAGACAGCAGAGTGGGGGAGTCCCCCCTGTTTGGGGCACACTTTGGACGGACGGACCTTGAGTGGACTTGCAGTCTGCTGTTGTGTCATTTGCATGGCAGGATTTGTGCTCAGGTGTCCTTGGACCAATTAAAAGCCTTTAAGTGCATACAGACACACAAACAGCTGCAAGTGCAGATGAATGCACAGACAGAGCGACACAGAGACAGCTGGAGATACAATTGCAGCTGAAGGCGGCACATACAGAGATCCACATGAGGAAAATTTCATTATTTATGTTTGAAGTTTGCACAGTTCCACACAGTTCCACACAGTTCCACACAGTTCCACACTCCTTCACCGCCCATCTATGTCGCTGTTCATTTCATGTGCAAAATGATTTTTCTCTTGCCGGCTACAACTTTTGCCATGCAAATAGTTTTCTGTAGTCAGCAAGCAGTACACTCGCAGCACAAACTCGTTCTCGTTATGGACTTAAACACTTTCTGGCCAGGACTCATGCACAAAAGTGTAGCTAGAAATAGTTTGTTATATTCTTTGGAATATGTTTCATGTGCTGGCAATGGCACAAATCCAATTGCTCCTGTAGGAGCACAAAGTTCGAGTACACAAAACTACTTCACTCAATTGGCATTCGATACGTTTCAAATGAACTCATTTTCAGCCCGCACAAGCCTGAAGATGAATCCAAACGTTACTTGGGGCTGGTTGCTGCAGAAGCTAGCCGCTAATTGAATTTAAGTGGATGGATTAAAATGTTTTCTCCAAAGACCCATTTGAGCAGAAATAAAACCAAGAACAAAACCTGTGTAAAAGTACAAGTTAAAGTTTCGCCTCGTATTTGTCGCGCCCAACGAGAATGAAAATGAAAACGAAAATGAAAACTTTTCAACGGAAATGCGAAAAGTTTTGCGGGAACTGCTGAACGGAGCTGAGCGGAGCGTCAGGTGGCCAGGCCGTGCCTGCATTTACCTTCACGTAGCACGAAATGGATGGCTATTTGATGATAATACTCGGATAATTTTATGGACATTTTGCATATTGATGTTTGAGGGGATTACAATGGATTAGCCGAGTGTTTAGTGATTCGTTTTCATATTGTAATTGCAGATCGGATCGTTCTTTATGATCAATCTATGCCTGGTCGTCATTGCCACCCAGTTCTCGGAGACGAAGAAGCGCGAGATGGAGCGAATGCGGCAGGAGCGGGCCCGTTACACCTCCACATCGACGCTGGCCAGCAGCACAAACAACTCGGAGCCGGCCACCTGCTATGCGGAGATAGTCAAATATATTGCCCACTTGTGGCGACGCTTCAAGAGACGAATGTTAAAGAAGTACAGATTATATAAGTATGCTGCTTGTACCTTTTCATTTGATTCGATTACAATTTACGTTTGTTACTTCCATTTCCGGTTTGAGTTGTCTCTCTCTCGCTCTCGCTCTCGCTCTCCCCTGGCTCTTACTCTCTCTTTCTCTGTCCGTGTCTACCTTTTGATTCTACTCTCAGAGTCTCCACCCAGCCAAAGAAAAAGCAAAAGCAAAGCAAAGCTCTAGGCTTTAGTCACTTGAAAACTGATTGATTACTAACCTTAACCCATTAAAGCGAGTAATTAGCGCACTTAGCTCTCAGCTGAGACTCGCTAACGGGAGGAGGGGCCAACATGGATTTTCATTCTCTCCGTTCATGCTCTCATTTGAAAGCGATGATTGACCGAACGAACCCCTGGGCTTAATTCGGGGCTTTTCATTTCCACTTTGTGCTTCCTCTACAAGAAGTGTTTCTGTATTGAATTTTTATTTTGTTTTATTTGTTGCTTGGTTTTCCAGCATTCCGTATCATTCCGCTGCTTCATTGCATTCCACACTCCACCGTTTTCGCTTTAGTTCTCTTTCTTATTTCGATTTTGATTCAAGGCAAATTAATTTCATGCGCGCCCTCCTCATGTTTCATGCATTCCCATTTACATTTACCTGTCCATTTTCAATTTCGTTTTGAGCTTTGTTTTTGCATTATTATGTTTGGACATGCATCCGTGTGTTGCTCCGCTAAAATAGTAAAAAAGAGAAACAAAAATACACACGTACGCGTAGAGCAATGCGAATGCGTAGACTAGCGGCGAGAATAGGGCTAGCTGGGAGATTTAGCATCCCGTGTAGGCTGTCGAGTGTCCATCGATCTAAGGCAACCCAAACACACACACATGGATACACAAGAACAGACAGGGTCCCTGGGAGGCATACTCGTACATGTTGTTGATCCTGAAGCTTTCCACACACACACACACACACACACACACACACACACCTATGCTGAATGCCACTGATGCAACACTGATTCCACAGCTGGAACTCATGTTAATTTGGATAATTTGCATTTTTGTACTGCTGCTGTTGTCCTTAGTTCATTGATTTGATTGAATTATGTAATTGCCATTGTTGTCTGTCTAATTGCTAAGCACACACACACACACACATACTCAAACACGTGACACACACACACACTCAGAGATCCAGCCACCAGGGTCCACTAATGAGAGTGCACGTACACACCACACCCAGCCAAAGCCCGCACGTGCAACAGCCCCATCGGTTGACCCCAGCCCCAGCCCTCTAGTACCCACAGAGAACACGATGTTTTGTGTACAGACATATGTGTGAATTACGCGAATTGCCAGCCAACTTGTTACTAATCAAATTCGGTTTTCCCCCACCACCCCAACAACCCACCACCCCAACAACCCACCACCTGGTGTACAGATACCAGCGGCAGCAGCGCAAGGAGGGACTGCTGCCCAATGCCGATAATTTGACCTTCTCGCCGTCACGCATCAAGTGCCATCACCCGAAGTGCCCCAAGTACAGTAATCGCAAGCATCCGTCCAGCATTCAGGATCAGATGATTACCGTCATGGTGCCCCTCAATTCGAATTCGAATTCGAATTCCAACAACAACAACAACAACACCAACAACCACAACGGCAGCACCAATAACACCAATGGCAATGCCAGCAATAATGTGCCCAGCTGCACCACAGTGGCGTTGGTGAACGGCATAAATGGCAGCACGGCCAGTGTGACCATGTCAACAGCGCAGCATCAACAGGCCGCCCAGCAGCAGCAGCAGCAGCAGCACTCCTCCTCCGACAACACCGAACAGTCGCTGGGCGAGGCAGCGGCTGCGACCTGCAGCCTCATGCCGCGCAGTTCCTCGCTGAAGAAATCCCCACAGACGCACCATCAGCTGAAGCCCGAGGGCAGTGCCGGCGAGCAGAAGACAATTCTGTTGAAGTTCCCACAGCAGATCATGGACTCGGAGCAGCTGATTGTAAGTATTTGTCAATCGCTGGGCAGGCCTGACTACCACTCACGCACACACACATTCTGGTCCGACGGGCCACAGAATCCATTCGAACAGCAAAACAGCAAAAACAGAAAAAGCAAACAGCAAAAGCTACAAAACAGAACAGAACAGAACAGAATATTTGCATCTAGCTAAATTTGCCACACAAAAACAGACGAAGCTGACAAAACGATTTATGCACAAATGAAATGCCGTCAAATAACAAAATGATAAATAATAATAAAACTCTTTCATATTTGCTATATAAACCATTGCTAATCTCGTAGCTGCAGTTGGGAAATTTGGGCAAGGTACTAACCAAAACACACACACTAAATAAGAGAAAGTGCAATCAAATGCACAGAAAACACATTTGCCAACTGGTTTCGGTCACACCGAATACTGAAGGCCCTTGCCCAGACCATTGGCAAGGGCATTCAGTGACTGGCTGACTGTCCCCAAGGAAAAACAACCTCCGAATCCGTATCCCGTAAAAATTGTAAATGCAAGCGAGTGCCCGCATATGTTTGCACATTAAAAGTGTACAGTTGAAATGGTTATCACTATCTTTTTTTGTCGATTGTATGAGCACAAACAAAAGTACATAAATATGTGGAGAGTTGATTGCCCCATTCAATTGCTGACTCTGAAGCTGAATCTGAATCTATTCCCCATTGTTTCCATTATGTTGCCATTGTCTGTCTCTTTTCGCTGGAATGCCATTTAATTATTTGTCTCATTTCGTTTTATTTGCATATGTGCAAATGATTCTCAATAACACACAATAACCAATCCATTAGTAATTGGGCAAACCGAAACATTAATGTAGCCAAAGTAGTCCAATTCGTAAAGAAAAGATGTCCACTGAGTAATTCAATATTTAATAACACTCTAGTCTGTCCAGCTAAAACCGGAAGGCTTTGATCGTTTTACCTTGCGAATACTTTGCAAGCAGTTCAACTAGTAAGCAGTAAGCAGTAAGCAGGAGTCAAGCAGTGCCAAGCTAAGTGATTCGCTTAGAACATTCTCTGATTAGTCTGGCTTAAATGATCAATCAAATGAAGGCTTTGGGCGAGTTCTTCCTGTCAACCTTCTAATAGGTCTGTTCCTTAGCCAACATAGCAACGATCCAACATTTCCTTCTATTATAGACCCTTGTAGCTTGTTATTGTGTTCTTGTTGTTGAGGCTTCCATCCAGTTCTCAGAGCCGTACGAACACTGACCCCCTCCGTGTAGAGACTCCCCTTGCCGTTTCCCCTTCTCTGCCATATTCATAACCATGAGCGAGAGCCGAAGGATCTGGCATTGCTAATTCTCGAATTACTCTTGCATACAGAGCCACCCGTGCACCTCGGGCTTCCTCAGTCCGCCCACATCGGCCAGCCGGCGTCCGTCGGTGATGTTCAACGAGTACGTGCTGCTGCACACACCTCCCGCCCTCAGCACTGAGCCTCAGCCGGCGCTGGCACCGGGTAGCGCTTCCGCCTCCCCAGCGGCAACGACTGTGGCCACGGTGGCAGGAACAGCAGCGGCGGCGGCGGCAGCAGCAGCAGCAGCGGCAGCGACAACAGCAACAGCAGCAGCAGCAGCATCGGCGGCAGGCGGCAGCAGCAGCAGCCACAACAACCACAATCCGAACAACAACAACCACAATGGTGGCGCGAGTGGTGCTGGCTCGAGCGGTGGTGCGGCAGCTCCAGAGAAAAGCACCACCATATTCTCCACGGAGAAGATGACCCAGGCTGGCGATGGCAGCATTTGGCAGGTAAGTGCTTGACCACAGAACATCCGTGAATGACACATGGAATGGTTGAATGATTGAAGCAAAACTAACACCCTCCGCTGTTTCCGAGCAGGTGAACCTGCCGCAGACCATCGACACCATTGCCAATCCATACGCTGATTGCTCCGAGCTGGGTATACACGATGCGATGACTTGTCAAGAGCTGTTAGCATTCTCTGTGGCCTTTTCAGCGGCCTTGCCGACGGGTCAGAGCACGCTAGAGTCCTTTTACACGTCGCTGGCCCGCTGCGATCCGCACACCGCTGAGGCGCTCAAGGCCCAGCACCAAGCAACCTCCCAGGCGTTAGTGGCTGTCCCGTCCCCGGGCCATTTCCAGTCAACGCCAGATCAGGCGACGGCTGGAGCTGGCGATGCCTTCGAGCTGAGCGGCGCGCCGAGCACTGTGGTCGCCGTAACAGGGGACTCGCAGGCAGCTGGCAGCCATCATCGGCAGCGGGGAGAACATCAGCATCACTCGCATCCCCACCAGCATCAGCATCAGCATCACCACAATAATAACAACAACAGTCATAGCAGGAACAACAATGGACACAGATCACGGGGTCACACATCGCACGGTCAGGGCGGGCATGGGCGCGATCATGGCGATCATGGCGGTCCCACGGGCAACTACATGGAGGACTATGCCTGCTGCTACGACCTGTACCAGAATGCCCTCTCGCCGCTGGAGGAGCGACACCATCAGAGATCTCCGGCGATGCGCGGCCTCATCGCCGTCTACCGCTGCCTGATGCGCATCTGCAGCTACGTCCGGCGGTACATCAGGCGCCTGGTGGAGCACAAGTACTTCCAGCAGGGCATTCTGCTTGCCATACTGATCAACACGCTCTCGATGGGCATCGAGTACCACAATCAGCCGCCAGAGCTCACAGCCATCGTGGAGACCAGCAACATTGTCTTCTCCGGCATCTTTGCCGTCGAAATGCTGCTCAAGGTGGTGGCCGAGGGGCCATTCCGTTACATAGCCAATGGATTCAATGTATTCGATGGCATAATTGTCATACTCAGGTGAGCTCTTACTCAGCGTCAGTCTCGTGCCACTTAATATTACATCCATTGTTCCATCAGCGCCATTGAGATATGCCAACAGTTTCTGGGCAATGGCACGGGGGGCGGTGGCTCTGGTTTGTCGGTTCTGCGCACATTCCGGCTACTCCGCATCCTTAAGCTCGTGCGCTTCATGCCGAATCTGCGGCGTCAGCTGTTCGTCATGCTTCGCACCATGGACAATGTCGCTGTCTTCTTCTCCCTGCTGGTACTGTTTATATTCATCTTCAGGTGAGTTCGACTGCCCTCAAGGACCAGTCCAAAGACACAATAAAACTAACACACACACACAAAAAAAAGAGAAGAAAAATAAACACACACACACACTCACACATGTAACCACCACTAACAGACACACACACACACACACACACACACACACACACACACACACACACACACAACACACGAAGAAGGCGGAGATAACAAAAGATAATGAAGTAACGAAAAGGAAAATCCCATCAGAGGTTATTCCACGATTAATCGATAGCGCAAAAATGGTTATCGAACCGCGAAAAAATCCCCCAAAAAACCAATACCCAAAAATGAAGAAGAAAGAAAGTAAACTCCAAACCAGTCCCAGCCAAAAACAAAAAAAAGAAAAAACAAAGAGAACCGAAAAATGTGCCAAATAACGTACCGATATTACCACCCGAAATACCCACAAACAGTTTCAAGTTTGTTAGTCCATTCATAGCCAGGCGTCTAACGTCAGTTGTCTAACAGTTCTTAGAGCATAGCTGCTTTCCATATACTATGCTTTCCCATATATAGTTCAATCGATCCACCCACGCGCCCATGAAGCACCCAACTCCACTCTCAACTCTCAACTCTCAGCTCAATCCATGAACCCACGAACCACTCATATCCTGTCCCTGCTGCCATATTGAAGTACAGTCTCGTTGCCTCACTATCTATCAATTGTGGGAGCTTCCTTCATTTACTTAATACCCAAAACACACACTCTCCCTCCCGCTCTCCCACTCATTTAACCACACACCCACACCTGCTAGCCTCTACCCACCACTACCCACCCCGTCGAAATTGTGCTCTGGTACTCGTAATTAAATAACTCGTAACTGTACTCGTTTATACTACTCGTTTGCTTTGACACGATCATTCTACCTATTTGTACCAATGTACTGCTGCGTACCACTTGAGTAATACCTATGTATTTGAGTAAGAATTTGTCTAAATGTCTCTCAATCTCTTTCTCCCTCTCCAATCGATCGCTCTCCACAAAAACACACTTAAGCTCTCGCTCTCGCTATCACACTCTCTGTCTCTCTCTCTCAATCTCTCTCTCAGTAAAATATTTGATACGTAATGATGGAACGTAGTTAGCGTTACGATTTTGGTAACTTTTGTAAGCAATCGAATCTCTTGTCCAGGCAAGAACTGTACCACCCCTAGTCCCGTATCACTTGCTTTTGATCTCTTTTTTCCCCATTCATTCCTCCCTCTCTCGTTCTGCCGTAAGTTGTCGTACACTTTGACTTCTCGCTCGCTCACTTTGCATTACTCTCTCGCTCTCGCTCTCTCTCTCTGTTTTTCACACACACTCACCCACACACGATCGAGTGGATTATTTCTCTCTCTCTCTCTCTCTCTCTATCTATCTTTCAATAATTCTCTCACTTGATACACGATCAAAATATGATTCAGTTCTGGCTCCGCGTACAATTTAACAACTTTATCCAGCTTATACTCAAGGATATTCGTACTCGTTTAGTCCCCCCGTTTCAAAATCACTCGCTACTTCTCCCACTCTCGCTCTCACTCTCACACTCCAATTCAATTTCTGCTCAAAATTCATTTCGTTTACTTGAGTTCTACACCAAACACCAATACGCCGACACACCGACAACAACAAGAACAACAACAGCCACGGAGACTCGCTCACACAAACAAATTAGTTAGCCAGTTAGTTAGCCAAAAAGTACGCTTTATTCCACTTCAAATTAACTAAATATGTGTCTTAGCTTCTCTTAGCGTTAACCAACACTGAACACACAGAAACCACCACCACAACCTCACGCTGAGAGACACTTGAAATTTGGCTTGCGAGTGACTTGAGCCTCTCACACACAGAGACACCCAACACAAAAACACACACAGACAAGTACCCAGATCGTACGCTTAATTATTGTGTAGTATTGCAGCCGCTGCAGTTGTGATAATACTCGTACTCGATATATACTCGCTCTCTCACTCTCTCTCGCTCTGTATCTCTCTATCTCTCTCGCTATCGCTATCGCTATCGCTATACTATACATGATTACTCGTAATTGATATACTAGTACTCGTATACCTATGATATTGTATCAATTTCACACACACACACACACACACACAGACCACAGCGTACACCACAAAATAATTAGCTAGTTTAGTTGCTAAAGTAAAATTAATCGAGTTTGTGTAGTTAGAATAGCAACAGCTGCTGCAGCAACACATAAGACACACACACACACACATACTCCCTCGTACATAAGTAACTCTGCAGATAAACTCGTATCTATACTACTACTCGTACATATATCGTATATGCCACCAGCGATTAAAGAAAGTAATGAAAATGCCGTATGTCGTTTGTCGTATGAAATTGAAGCCAGCGTCGAAAAGTTTACGAGGCGATTGAAACTGAAACTGAAACCGAAATTAATAAACCAACCAACTCGATAAACGACCCCTGATTAAACTCTAAAGAGATACCTAAACCTAAACCGCAAAACAGACCACAAACCAAACCAAACGAAACCAAAACCTGAATCTGAATCTGAATCTGAATGAATAACCCCACCAAACCGAACCAAGCCCCATGTCACCATCCGTCACCACCTGCCAATCTCCTCCACAGGCTCTAGCTTCTCCACTCTCTCCACTCTGTCTCTCACTCTCAGCTTGGGATTGAACTGAATATTTGTTTCGTTTTACTTCTTTTGTAGTCCGATTGCAGTCGTGTGGGTGAGCTTTGATCCTCCTCAGAAAGGAAAGCTCCGCTCTCTATATTTACCTCTCTCTGTCTCACTTGCTCTCTCTGTCCTCTCTCTCTCTCTCTCTCTCTGTCTCTTTGAGTGTTTTCTTTTGTTTGCCGCTCGTCGCTCACTCAACAGCCACACAAAACACTCTCTCTTGTTCCTTATCTCGCTCTCTCGCTCTCTCTCTCTCTCTCTCTTTGTCTGTCTTTTCTCTCACACTCTCTCACTCTGTCTCTTTGTTTCTTAACTCTCTCTCTCTCTCTCTCTCTATTTCTATATTTTGTCTCTCTCTCTCTCTCTCTTCGTCACACTCCACACAATTTAATAAAAACAAAAACCAAAAAACTACTAAAACCAAAAAAACCAAAACAAAAACAAAAAATAATAATCGAATAAACTGAAAACCGATATTAAAACAAACCTAAATGTATGCTAAACACCAACCCAAAAAAATGAGAAACCCTTCCAAAAAAAAACCTAAAAAAACCACACAAAAATATATAAGAATATATGTTCTAATGATAATCGAAACAACAAACAACAAAAAAAACAAAAAAAACAACAACAATAAAAATATATATATTTAAATATATATCATATTATATATCAACAAAAACAAACCATCACTTTAGTATACTCGGCATGAATCTGTTCGGATGTAAATTCTGCGAGAAAGTTAACGGAGAGATGATTTGCGATCGTAAGAATTTCGACAGCCTGCTCTGGGCGCTCGTCACAGTGTTCCAGGTAGACCCATTGCTATCAGCCTTATACCATATATAAACCTATAAATATATATATATCTATATCTACTACTACTACTACTACTCCTAATGTTACGCAATAATCTGCTACTACTGATATGATTACGATTAACTGTTCATGAAACTGAAAAAGAAATGCTAAGACCGAAAAAATACAAAACAAGAAAGAAAAGATTTACGGAAAATCTTTTCGGAATCAAAATGCATTTTGTTTTTGCTCCTTTCACTTTGAGTATCGCTTCAGTTTGAATTTCGAGTGTTTTGATTTCCGTTTCCGTTTCCGTTTCTGTTTCGATTTCATTTACCGTTGCGATAACCATTGATCGTAAAGCATTGTTACCGTTGTGTCTTCCTATTACTCGCTCTCTCTCTCTCTCTCTCTATCTCTCTCTCTGTCGCTTTGTCTTCGTCTGTCTGCTGTGTCCATACATGTGTGTGAGTGCACACAGGGATTTGTGCATATTATTTTATGATTTATTATCGATACGTCGATTGGCAGAGCCATGTCGATGCCGATGTCGATAGCTCGCTCGCACTAATTTGTGGTGTGTACTTGAGTGTAGTATTCAGTTGAACATGCTTTATGATATTCAGTTCCTTCGATTACAATACCTATTTCAATTTCGATTACGATTACGATTAACATTTCGATTACGATTCTTGAGTTGGCATGCCAGTTAAGCGTGACCGTTTCGAATTCAATAGCAAGCAGCGCGCATCCGCATCCGCAACCGCATGCAGTTCGGTATCCGTATCTGTAAATGTAGCTATACGAGAGCCAAGTATTCTATACATACTTTAGCCCATATCTATGTCTATATCTGTGTATCTATTGTATCCACTGTATCTGTTTGTATCTGTATAATTGTACATTGCACCAGGTAAGCATTACCGTTCGTTCGAGTTCGTTTTTGAGCTTTGCATGGGTTCGGATAACATAACCAAGTAGTCCCGATAAATGAGTTTGCATCCCAGCATCCACACCACCCCCGGACTCGACCCGAACACTTTGCATACTATTATCTATCCTGTACACCTCCGAAAACACACACACACACACACACGACTTGTACATTCATGCATCTATGGAACTATCGAACTATCTATCTGTCTGTCTCTCATATGCTATCTTTGTACCATATATGTACGCTTTGATTGTCACTTTATTCTCTTGTTGTCCTTCCACTTTCGTTTGCCTTTACCTTTGCCACTCACATTTTGCTCTTTATCTTGATCCAATGTCTAAGTATGTATTCTGTACTCGTGCCTTTATCTATCTATCTATCTATTGTCCTCATTCTATTCTAGTTCTAGTCTCTAAGTTGTATAGAACTCAGCGCCCCGATACGAATCCCTCTAAAAAGAGAACTCTCCCTCTGTATCTCCCCCTCTCTCTCTCTCCCACTCTCTGGACAACACACACACACAAACACACACATATGCATTGCCCACTATAAATCTGACCCCTCAGGCACACACACACACATCCACATGCATACACATGTACCACTAGACTTTCGGGACCCAAGAAAACTGTATTATAAAATAGAAAACAAAACCCTTCGGCCCACTCGCTCCACATGAATACGAGTGAGTATGCATACACATGAATCAGTGTATGATGTCCCCAGAACCACTCTGTATATAAACAGACATCAGAACAGAAACCCGAACAGAACTCCAGGCAGAAGGCCAACGCCAAAAGTTGATGGCAGCTTTTGTGCTCACACTTGCCTCTCTCTCTCTCTCGTTTTGTTTGTCTCTTGTTTATTATACATATATATACTATTTATATACGTACACAAACCCGAGAATAATCACTAATCAGACCCATGCATAGAAAGGGACTCCCCACGTATATCCGTATATCCGTATACCGAATGGCCTCTCTCTCTCTCTCTCTCTCTATATATGTATATCTATGAATCAGTTTATATATACATATAGTATATGCCATGCCAATATATGTATAAATGAATATCGAATAACAGACACACATCTATAACTCTATGAATATACATACATATACAAAACATATATATCAGAAAATATATATATATAAAACATATATATAAACCTACAGCATACTCGGCATGTATCTGTTTGGCGGTAAGTTTTGTAAATTTTTGGACGAATCCGGACTCGAACGCGAGTGCACGTGTCCCGAAATAATCAGCCGGCATCCGCAATGCGAGTGCGATCGCAAACACTTCAACAACATTTTGTGGGCAACTGTCACAGTATTCCAAGTAAGAACAAGTCAAACAGCAATAAACTTACAGAAATTCCCCATACCCTCGAAGCCCATTCCTTGCCAGCTCCAACCACGCCCATTCCACCCACTCCCCCAGACCACTGTAAGAAAATTACAACAACAGTTACAACAATTATATATATATATATCACCTACCTATCGAAATGAGTCTGAAATTCTTTGCGATTATATAACCAGTATTTAAAGAATTTCCACCTATAGCCACGAAAGTTCCCAGTTCCTAGTTTCTCTCTCTCTCTCTCTCTTTTTCTCTCTCCTCTCTCTCTCTCTCTCTCTCTCTCTCTCTCTCTGTATTTCTCTCGTTATCCGTTTTAGTCTCTTGATTTGTATTGATTTCTCGTGATTCCCACTCTATATATTTCCCACCCTTTTCTCCACGTTAGTGTTGCTTTTTCAGTTCTGATGTTTGAGTTATTTGGTTCAGTTATGAGTTCATCGATTGGCATCGGCATTTCGATTCCGATTTCGATTCCGATGCCAGCAAATGTAGTCACACATGCCCCTCCACGAAAACACACCTGCAACATCCTCACAAAATAACACCAGGGTAGGCCGCAGATCTTCCCATCCACCCCACCATTATCCACATACAAATGTAGGCTGCCACAGTGCCGCTGCTCTGCAGAGGTACAGTCTCGTCCGGCGGCATTCGGCAGCGCCACGCAGGCGCTCCATCACATAACCTCTTTTCTTTTTTCTCTCTCTCTGTCTCTTCTATCTAGTCTACGTCTCCTTATTATTCAACCATCCCAACACGACACATGACATAAGCCAAGCCAACCGTTATCGCTGCTGCTACCTTTTGTTGCATGCCCCTTTTGGGATTCACTCAGCTACCATACCGTGGCTTTCGGCTATTATTTTGTTGTATGCAAACCTCGGAGCTGATTTCAAATAACAATCCAATTCAAAGCCTGGCACACACACACACACACGGACACACACCCCTAATGTATACAGTTATCATTTCCGTTTCGTTCGATTTGGTTCGCTTGTTCGTTGGCTTGTTTGAAACGGAACAGCAATTTTAATTTCTTTCTTAATTAGCTGCTCCCAACCCACTCCTACAACACCCCAGAAACTCGTTCACTCTCTCTTTCTGTCTCTCTCTCTCTTTCCCTTTCTCTCTGTCTCTCTGTCTGTCTCTATCTCTCTGTCTCACCTAGTCGAAGCATTCGAAAATTGTCGCTAAGCAAAAACCCATATCAAAATCGTTATATATACCTACATCCAAATGTTGAAAGTTGTATTTGTGCAACACCAATGTACAGCCACAAAGTTAAGAACCACAAAAAAAAAAAAAAAAAAAAAAAAAAAAAAAAAAAAAAAAAAAAAAAAAAAAAAAAAAAAAACAGAAAATTTAACTTTTTTATCAACCGCATTCGTATTGTAATATATTAAAAAAAAAAAAAAAAAACATTTAAATAGAAAAACAGAAAAACAAAAAATTGGCACGTCGTGTACAGAGCAAAACAGAAAAAAACCAAAAACGAAAAAAAAAACATTTGAATTCTTTGAAAAATTCCTATGCAAGAATTATGTGCGCTTTTTGCCTTTGACTTTGCCTTTGCCTTTGCCTTTGACTTTGACTTTGCCTTTTGCTCTTTGTCCTTAGTCCGAGGAGAGCGGCCGCCCATGCTGCTGCTTTTCTTTGAGTTTTGCTATTGAATTGATTTTGCTTTTGCTTTTGCTTTTGCTTTCCGCTTTTATGTTTTGTGTGTTTGGCTTTGCTCTTAGCGTTTTTTATCTTAGTTTCTTTTTGCCTTGGTTTTTGTGTGCCTTTGTTTAGTTTTTTCTTTAGTATGCCACACCACGAATTATTGTTTGAAGAACCGCTCTGTGCAGCCTACCTACGAATATTGGCCGCACTGTACCACAGCCGCTACTTTCCAGCCAGAGAAACGAAACGAAACGAAACGAATGAAACATGTGCTGTACATCGAGTGCATCGCTGGCACTGCTTGCTTGCGCACTCAACTGCTTTTCGCCTTTCAACTGTCCTTGTGCCTTCACTCTGTCGCTGTCGCTGTCTCTGTCTGTGTCTCTCTTGCTCTGACACACTCTGCTGGCTTTTGTTTGCGTCTGCCTGTTGATTGCCGAATTACTGATAATTGATTAACAAAAGATCGAGTGCTGTCCGTAAGAGCTATACATAAGTGATAATTCTGTAAATGTTTTCGATTCATAACTGCTGATCAGATGGATTCAGATTTGCGCAGCTACTTTTCGTGATTCAATTGAAAACTCTTACAGCAATGATTGATTAATGTTAGGTTTGATGATTGACGCATAGCAAACAAAAGCTGCAGCCCCATCAAAATATAAAGATTTAAGAGACATACACACATACGTGCATTTGTATGTGTGTAAAAACGTACTCGTAAAGTATGCTACATATACGTATATCCATCCAATTAACAGGTTATTTATTCAATATTTCAGTATAGCAATTATCTTGCTCTCGCTGTCGCTCTCGCTCTCGCTCTCGCCATCTCTGTCTCTTTCGCTCTCTTTCTTTGCTCTCTCTCTCTGTCTCTCTCTCTCTGTCTGTCTCCCGCTCTTACTGTACCTCGTCTGTCACTGCCTTTTCGCATTGTCTTTGCCTTTGTCTGACATTTAACATTCGTTTGGCATTCGTTTTATTATACGTTTCTACTTACTTAATTAATTATGTACCTACTTACGTGCCACCCAACCGCAACAAGAAATAAAACTACAAAATTTGTTTATTGGTATTTCGTTCTTTTTTTTCTTTGGCTTCTTTCGATTAATTATCGATACATGTATATCCGACATATACATACCAATATGATATCCATGCATATGTATGTGTTATATCTGCACCACGTTTTGCCGCCCGCCACTGCAACTGCAACTGCAACTGCAACTGCAACCGATCAACCAATCAACAACAACAACAACAATTCCAACTCCAACTACCAACAACAACAATCTACAACAACAACAACAACAACAACAACAATCACCAAACAACAACAAAATGTTTTTAGATACTGACGCAAGAGGATTGGAACGTCGTCCTATTCAATGGAATGGAAAAGACAAGTCATTGGGCCGCATTGTACTTTGTGGCCCTAATGACGTTCGGCAATTATGTGCTATTTAATTTATTGGTGGCCATTTTGGTTGAGGGATTCAGTTCAGAGGTAGAGTTTTGCCAACAACAACAACAACAACAACAACAATCCCCCCCTTCCACCCCAATGCTTTACCCCTCATCAAAGACCCATTAAAAACCAAATTAACCACATGGCAGCGTACTCGTTCGTTCGAACTCTCGCTTGATATCGATCAGTCGATATGATTAATCGATTAACTCTCGATTAACTCTCGATTAACTAGAAGCTACAAAATACTATCTGAACGATAGACACGAAATAAAGGCATTTAATATATCTTTAAACTTGTAAACTTTTATGCTGATCAATTCGGTCTTAGATTAACCATCCATAAACTCAATCTCCGTTTAACTAACAATAAGTCCGAGCTCCGTTCATGCTTCAAATACTTGAGGCACCAAGTGTGCGTGTTTTTTGTGTCCATGCCTCTGTCGATCACCTCATAGCCTTGCCCCACCCTCAACCCACCCACCAATCTCCAGCGCAATTCGAAAAACACCCATGAAGCAGCGTGAGGCAAAACGCTTGTCGACCAGCTGAAAAAGCAATAACCCAATCCATGCTCCATGCTCCATGCTCCATGCTCCACGCTCCAGGTTGACGAGAAAGTCTAATTTTGAAATTTTGATTCCCTCAGCGAAATGAACGTCGCGAGCGCGAACAGCGCGAGTTGGTTAAGAAACTGCGCGAAGAGACATTGGCCGAGAATTATAGCGATGGTATGTACGATGAATCGCGCAGCGAGGCGGATTCATCGACCACTAACGATAGTTACTACGAGGTACGCAATCGCTGGCGCTCAGCGGAGGACGTGCGCAAGGTAAGTCCAGTCCAGGATGGAGGCGAAAGCGAATGCGAAAGTGCCACAGTGGACACAGATCCGGTGCGTGTATGTGTGCCTGTCTATCTCTTTCTCTCTCTCTGTGTGTGTGTGTGTGTGAGTGGTGCATGAGTTGCTTGCATGTGTGTGTGTGTTTGTTTGTGTGGGTAACATAGCACCGGTTCTATCCACGGCTCGACCTCCTACTCCCACCAACAGCTGCAGGACTCGGCCGAGCTGATCATCGAGGCCAAGAGCAACATGCACCGACAGCGGCTGCTCCAGCCCAGTCACGACTACCAGATCAACGAGCTGCCAACGCCGGGCGGCGGCGCTCCCTCATCTGCCACTCCTGCCTCCGGCCAGGACAAGGAGGCTGGCGGCAGCAACATCCACAAGCTGATGTCGCACGAGGAGATGAGCGGCAGCAGCAGCAAGCCCCGCGGCGGCCTCAAAAAGGTAAGTAAAGCCGACCACAGACCACACCAGACGAACCCAAGACAGCCACATCACCTGCCCACTGCTCGCCTCCGCCTCCCACACAGACATACTCCGTCAAGGACAGACGCAGCGAGGCGTCGCGTCTCTCCAAGATGCGGTTGGTGCGGGAGCCGCCTATCATCACCACTACGGCGGCCACGCCGCAGGATTCGCCCAGCACCACCCTAGAGCCGGGCATGGGCTTCCGCCAGTGGGGCGACATGGAGGTGAGTTAACCCCGCTCCTTCTCTCTCTCTCTCTCTCTCCCTCTCTTTCAACTCTACTGACACGTCCACAGCCGCCACCACCGCCTTCGCCATCGCTGCTGCGACCCCCGAACATCTTCACTGGGGGCCAGCGGACCCTGGATGAGGGCATACCCGCCATCGATCTCATTCCGCCCTCCCCGGTGCTCGCCCACAAGCCACTCAATATCCTCAACGCCAGCCAGCTGGGCGTGGGCGTCGGTGTGGGTGTGGGTGTGGGCGGAACCGGTGGCATGGCCATGGGCATGGGAATGCCAGGGGGAGCCGGCAGCACTGGGAGCAGCATGCACAGCGTCATCATCGATGACATATCGAAGAGCTCCGGCTCAACTGCAGCCGCCACGCCCATCTATGTGCCCACCATCTCCTCCTCGTCGACGTTAGCTGGCGGTGCGGGTCTCCAGCCCCCGGCTGGAGCCTCCTCCACTGCGCACACTGCGGATGCCCACAGCTACAGTCACAGTCTGAATGACCTGTCGGGCTCCGCAGCAGCAGCTGGAGCTGCAACCAGTGCTGGGGCCTCGACCAGTGGCAGTTCTTCCAGCGAGCGCCTACCCCTGGCCCCTCCTTCTCCGTCTCCGTACAGCGGCATAACGGGGGGCAGCTTCAAGCAGCGCTTCCGGCGCAGCAGCTCCAAGAAGAGGAGACCCCAGCCGTCGACGGCAGCAGGCGAGGACAGTCATGAGGAGGAGGAGCAGCAGCAGCAGCTGAACAACGGCAGCGACAACAGCTACATGCTGAGGAGCAGCGCAGGAGGAGGAGGACTGGGAGGTGCTGCCAAGGACACCAACCGGCTGAGTCCACAAAACTCAATCCGCAGACTCTCAAACACGCTGAGCATCGGCAGTGGCGGTAGTCCGGGAGCGGCGCTGGGCAGTCGCCGGGCCTCGGCCTGCATCTTCAACTCGCAGGTGTACCAGAACCTCAACCAGCCACTGAAGCTGCGTCCGGGCACGGGCCAGCGGCGGATGAGCTCCATCGAGCTGGCGTTCAGCAAGACCTCGCACCTGAATCTGCACAACCTGGAGGCGAATCGCAAGTCGCTGTCCTACACCAACTCCAAGATGGACCTCGACAAGTGGCAGAGATCGTATGGGAATCTCAATGAGCCGGACAACATGCTGCAGCAGTACATTGAGGCGCGGGACAAGCGCAAGACTTCGATCAGTCACTACAACCTGAAGAAGAGGCTCGAGGAGAAGGAGCTCCAGCAGCTGCAGCAGCTCCACCAGCAGCAGCTGCTGCTCCAGCAACAGCAACAGCAACAGGACTCCTCGTCCTCCTCACAGCAACAGCACTCCCACTCTCAGTCCCAGTCCCAGTCGCATCGGCTCTCCAAGGAGTTTCAGCATCTGGCACTGCAGCCACATTCCATGGTGACAAGTGGCGATCGCATGTCCAAGCTGAAGATGATCATTGAACGACTCACACCCAGACAGTTCGCCATGGAGCGTGAGTCCTACTCGATGTACGTCTTTCCCGAGGATAACAAGTGAGTGCCAGAGCCAGAGCCAGAGCCATTCATTTCGCTCCATCATCACTGAAATTTGTTCCATAATACTCGCGAAATCAGGTTTCGGCAGGTCTGTACGTGGTTTGTCAATCAAAAGTGGTTCGACAATGTTGTGCTGCTGTTCATCGCACTCAACTGCATCACCCTGGCGATGGAAAGACCAAACATCCCTCCAACCAGCACCGAAAGATTGTTCCTGTCAACAGCCAATTACGTGTTCACAGCCGTCTTCACCGTTGAGATGTTCATTAAGGCAAGGACCTTCACGCAAATCTAAAAATCTCATAAATGATCTCCTCCTCCCCCCCGATTACAGGTAGTCGCCACGGGCATGTTCTACGGCACGGATGCGTACTTCACATCCGGTTGGAATATCATGGATGGATCTTTGGTTACCATTTCCATAATTGATTTGTTAATGTCATTGATTAGCGAATCGAGCCCGAGGATATTTGGGATTTTAAGGGTAAGTAGGGGGCTACCGGGTTAATTAGCCATCCGACAGCAGTCGCAGTCGCAGGCCTCAGCATCATCGACAGTTCAGTTTCAACAACAACAACAACAACAACAACAACAACTACTACTAATGCGATTCCAATAACAGCTATGAATGAAAACAACAACAAAGAACAGCAAGCCGAAACAAGCAGTGCAATTGCATCGACCACGCCCATTTCAATTGGCTGCTGTTTGCGCACACGCGGATCAGAAAAGCTCTCGCTAAAGCTACAGCTTAATGCTCGCTCTCGATAAAACTCTCTCAAGCTCAAGCTCAAGCTCAAGCTCAAGATCGCCTTCGTTCTATTCTATCAATATCTGTCTGCTGATTGGCTCTATCTCTATCTCTATATGCCATGATCTTTCTACAACACCCACACAAAAACACCAACACGCTACTCCAACACTCTCCAACACTGTCACACACAATTGAACGAACAACTCTACTGTCGACACCTTCACTTTTCCACATCTCTTGTTCAATTTGTCGTGTACATAGTCGATTAACTCGTATTGTGTGTGATTATCGGGTATATCTATATAGTATATTATATATATATATATGCATATCTATCTGTCTATATCTTATGTATATATGTACATACCCGTATCTCTGTCTCTGTCTATTGAAACTGCAGGTAAATTCCCTATTCTGCTATATTGAGTTACTGAGCAACAACACTAAATCCAATTGCTTTCACCCTTCGTTACTACTGCCCGTATACCCGTATGTGTGTGTGTAGACCCGAACCGAAATCCATTCCAAGAAAATCTCTCTCTATATATACTTACCATTCGTATTCCAACTCCAGTTAATGTTTGGCTCGCCTCCATTGAGTTCTTGTATATTGTATATAACTCGACCGGCAATTCCCCCGGTGAATTCCCCTAACAAAAGAAAAGATAATCCTCATGTTCAGCTTTAACCCAACACCCCCAACCAAAAGATTATGAATGTATTGAGATATTTGAATCCCATTGAACCCATTACGTTCCATTTAATCTTTCTATTCATTCCATTTGGATTCACACACATTAATGTATATTCCATTAGTTCCAATCATTCCACTTAGATATACAACTGTGTTCGGATCGATGGTCGTTATACAACAAAAAAAACATTAGATGTTTAAACACGAATAGATCGCCGGGAGGACACGGAATATCCGCTTCAGAGATTTTCGAATAATTTACAACTGAGAAATATTTTTAATAGATTCAGTGCCATGAAAAATCCACTTCGTTCTACGTAATACTTATTTTAAAACTCCCAGCACAGATGTCCGCTGAAAAGAAATGTCCTTATTTAGGAGCGTGTGGATATATAAATCAATCAATAATAAAATCAGTGGCAGAGAAACAACCCATGCACAAAAGCTCAACTGCAGCAGCGGAGCTCCAGCGGAGCTCCAGCGGCAGAGACACAGCTTCGTATTCACAGAGATCAGCCGCAGTGGCAGCGTAACAACCCATGCACAAAAGCTCAGCTGCAGCAGTGGAGCTCCAGCGGCAGAGACACTGCTTCGTATGCACAGAGAATAGCCGCAGTGGCAGCGTAACAACCCATGCACAAAAGCTCAGCTGCAGCAGTGGAGCTCCAGCGGCAGAGACACTGCTTCGTATGCACAGAGAATAGCCGCAGTGGCAGCGTAACAACCCATGCACAAAAGCTCAGCTGCAGCAGCGGAGCTCCAGCGGCAGAGAAACAGCTTCCTATGCACAGAGATCAGCCGCATTGGCAGCGTAACAACCCATGCACCCAACCCAAAAGCTCGACTGCAGCAGCGGCAGAGAAGCAAAAAACGTTTGTTGACGTCGTTTGTGTTGTGTACTAAAACGTGTACGAGGGAGGCAGCACTACTGTTATTCCGAGCACAGCTGTATGTAGGCATATTGATCGATAGCTAGAGAACCCATCCGTACCGAATCCACCATCCAGCATCTACCATACACCATTTTGGCCTTGCGTTTGTGTCCCCTCACTTACTAACCACCTTTGTTGTGCGCTTTATTTGCGTTCAATTTAATTTCATTTAATTCAATTCAATTCCATTTGAGGTGGCGCCGCCTGGCGTCGTGTACGACAGAGTGCCATCAAGCAGTGCAGTGAAAGCAGTGCATATACATACTTTTTATCAATATTTATTCAACCTTTTTCTACTCTCTCTCTCTCTCTCTCTCTCTTCCCTCTATCTGTTATCTCGTTCTGGGAACGCTTTTCGGTTGCAGGTGTTTCGGCTACTTCGTTCCCTGCGGCCTCTGCGGGTGATCAACCGTGCCCCGGGTCTGAAACTAGTCGTGCAAACGCTCTTATCGTCCCTACGTCCCATCGGCAACATCGTGCTGATCTGCTGCACCTTCTTCATCATCTTCGGGATACTGGGCGTGCAGCTGTTCAAGGGCACCTTCTTCTACTGCGAGGGCGAGAACATTAAGAATGTGCGCAACGCGGACGAGTGCCGGCGCATACCGGGCAACGTGTGGACGAACCGCAAGTACAACTTCGACGACCTGGGCAAGGCCCTGATGTCCCTGTTCGTGCTGAGCTCCCGCGATGGGTGGGTGAACATCATGTATACGGGCCTCGATGCTGTCGGCGTCGACCAGCAGCCGATCGTGAACTACAACGAGTGGAGGCTGCTCTACTTTATTGCGTTCATTCTGCTGGTGGGCTTCTTCGTGCTCAACATGTTCGTGGGCGTGGTGGTGGAGAACTTCCATCGGTGTCGCGAGGAGCAGGAGAAGGAGGAGAAGATACGGCGGGCGGCCAAGCGGGCGCTGCAAATGGAGAAGAAGCGCCGCCGGATGCACGAGCCGCCCTACTACACCAACTACTCGCCCACCCGCATGTTCGTCCACAACGTGGTGACGTCCAAGTACTTCGACCTGGCCATTGCCGCCGTCATCGGACTGAATGTGGTCACCATGGCGATGGAGTACTACCGCATGAAAATGGCCCTGCAGTATGCCCTGAAGATCTTCAACTACTTCTTCACCGCCGTCTTCATACTGGAGGCGAACATGAAGCTGGTGGCCCTCGGCTGGAAGCTGTACCTCAAAGATCGCTGGAACCAGCTGGACGTGGGCATCGTTCTGCTCTCGATCGTGGGCATTGTCCTCGAGGAGCTGGAGACGAAGATCATACCCATCAATCCGACGATCATCCGGGTGATGCGCGTCCTGCGCATCGCTCGCGTTCTCAAGCTGCTGAAAATGGCAAAGGGCATACGGGCCCTGCTGGACACCGTGATGCAGGCCCTGCCACAGGTGGGCAACCTGGGACTGCTCTTCTTCCTGCTGTTCTTCATCTTCGCGGCGCTGGGCGTGGAGCTGTTCGGGCGCCTCGAGTGCTCCGACGAGATACCCTGCCAGGGCCTGGGCGAGCACGCGCACTTCGCCAACTTTGGCATGGCTTTCCTCACATTGTTTCGCGTAGCGACTGGCGACAATTGGAACGGCATCATGAAGGACACGCTGAGGGATAATTGCGATGACGCGGCCGATTGTGTACGCAATTGCTGCGTCAGCTCGGTTATTGCTCCCATATTCTTTGTGATATTCGTGCTAATGGCGCAATTCGTTTTGGTGAATGTCGTCGTGGCTGTACTGATGAAACACCTCGAGGAGAGCCACAAGCAAATGGAAGACGAGCTCGACATGGAGGTGGAGCTCGAGCGCGAGCTGGTGCGCGAGCAGGAGTTCGCCCAGGAGCAGAAGCTGTGCCAGCAGCTGGCGGAGGCGCAGGCCAAGGCGGCCGCTCCCCCACGCCCCCTCGCCAAGGTCAAGTCGCTGCCCAAGAACTTCATCTACAGCACTCCCTCGCTGGACAAGAAGTTCCCCAGCCCCCAGTCCCTCACCAGCAGCGCTGCCAACAATCTCAACCAGCTGCAGCAGCTCCAACAGCAGAATCCATCCACATCGACATCCACATCCCCGGGACTGGGCGGTCTGGCGCAGAGGGAGAGGGGCGTGGCAGCTGGAGCGGGAGCGGGAGCGGGAGGACGCCGCCAGACCGTACAGTACTTCAATCAGCCACAGAGCGGCCCGGGACTGGGACCGGGCCTCGGCCACGGCCTGGGCCTGAGCCTGGCCGAGATGGGCGGCACGCTGACGCCTCAGGCGCTGGGCGCGCGGCTGGGCGAACCCTTTGGCGGCGCCTCGACAGCGACGGCAGCGGGAGGCACTTGTGCCGGCGCCGGCTTCGGCCAGGAGCCGGGCAACCTCCAGCTGCCGCCTCTGGGGCGCCGCGGGCGACGCGCCTCAGCCGCCGCCGGCTTCCGCAAGCGCGGCGTGCTGTCCAAGGAGCGCTCGCTGGACGAGCAGGCCATTCGACGACGCAATCTGGAGGCCAAGCGCACCAGCTGCGACTCGCTGCCCTGGGGCGGGGATGCCCTCGACTACAGGCGAGGCACCATCTTCGAGAGCCTCGAGTCGGATGGCGGGGGCGGCGGACTGGGATCCGGTTCGGGCTCAATCTCGGGATCAGGAGGATCACCCCTGGCCTTTGACATACGCAGCGTGCGCAGTGCGGAGGTGCCGCACCTGGAGCCAGACACCGATGCTCTGGCCGTGGTCAGTGCCCTGGTGCCCGCTGCAACGCCCATGCCCCTGTCCATGCCGCTAGCCCTGCACACGCCCACGCCCACACCCACATCCGCAACCGCGCTGAGGATATCGTCGTCAGGTCATCATCCGCCACCTCGTCGCCCCTTCGGCTGGTCACAGTCCGTGGATCAGGGCTGCCTTCTGGGTGCGCCCGGGCGCAGCAGTCTCCTCCTGTCCGTGCCTCGCTCGATGCCGCCACGAAGCCGCAGCGGCAGCACCAAGCAGCTCTTCAAGCAGCAGGCCCTCGACGAGGATGCCGACATGGACGAGAGCTCGCTGCTGCTGCCAGCGCTGTCCGCAGGCGGCTTAGGAGCAGGCGGAGGAGGCGGAGGAGGCGGAGGAGGCGGCGTCAGCGGAGCATCTGCTGGAGTCCCCACCGTCGCCGCTGCCCTGGAGAGCGTGGCTGCTGCCAGTGCTGTGGACTCGCCCGTGCTAGCAGTCAAATCCGATTCAGCGGACATCATGCGGATTATCAGCGAGCGGCGGCGGATGGACCAGCGCGACCAGCGAGATCCTAGGGATGATGCCGAGGACAGGGACAGCGACTACAACGAGCTGTTGCTGGTGAAATCCCCACAGTCCTCGATGGATTAGGCATGCAACACCCTGCATGCCACACACTCTTACACACTCTCTAGCTCTCTCTCTTTCTCCAAGTATACATAGATCCCTGTCCCTGTCCCTGTCCCTGTCCCTGTCTTTGTATACCAGTCTCTGTAAAACCCAGTAAAAAACATAAAGAAAATGAAAAATAAAAAAAGTCTTTAGGGAATTTTCTAAGTGCTCAGTTTTAGAACTTGAAAGCTGCAACTAAAATGGATAGGCGATAGGCAATAGGCAATAGCGATAACAATAACAATAAATAAAAAAGAAAATGATTATTCGATAGCAATAACTACTAACGATAAACGATAAACGATAACTATTCTTAGAGCGTTCGTCATCCAACGCAAGACAACAACAACAACAACAAAAAAACGAGAAAACAGAAGAAAGAATAAAAAAACAAAATTGTCAACTGTTTTTAGTGCAATCCTACGGTTTTCATAACTTTAAACAAACAAACAAACAAACAAAAACGCATCCAGATGGTATCAGAACCCATGAAAAGGGAGATCTTGAATAAAAACCCACAGAGCAGAAGATAAACCGAAACAAGAAAATTCAAAGTATAGTGAACTTAAAAGAAAAGTAAAGAAAAAGAAAAAGAATAAGAAAAAGAATAAACTATGTTCAATGTTGATTAGAGCGTTTTCCGTTTCAAGCTGTAGTCGAGAGGTCTAAAATCCAAGAGCTGACGAATTATATACAAGCGTTATATGCGATTTACATATACATATATATACCATATACTATATACAGTTATATATACATATATACATACTTATATATATATACATACTACTTATAGGGGGTACTGCATACATGATGGAAATTTGTGAACAAAAGATCATCAACTCTGTGATTAGCTCTTAAAGTTTAAACGTTTATAGGATGAAGGCGTCGCGATGAATACACTCGCACTCACACTCACACTCACACTCCCAACTGAACACTAAACAACACGCACGATGTCTGTATATAGTAAGAATGTATGTGTGTGTATTTTACTTAGTCTAGAAAGGAAAACTCACTAAGCAGAACACAGAAAAATGAGAAAAAAACAAAATGCTGACAAGACCCACATAGTACATACCGAAGAGCGGAAGAGCGGAAGAACTGTGCACAGTGTATTCGTACGAGTAGCTAATAAGTTCGTACCCAATCCCCCCGCAAAAAAAAGCCACACAAAAACATAGACAAAGGAAATACGAGTACTGCGTTGATGTGCTGCACTTCATTTGCTGCTAAGGAATAAAAAGGATAAATTTTTTGTGCAAAACGAATTTACTTAGGTACTGAGACATACAAAGGACTCAACCAGAAACACCCATAATGTATCCAGATACAGTGCACTCCACCACGAGTACCAATAGCATCTGTTCGGACGACAATCTCTCGCACTATATCTATCCCCTATGAACTCTGCCTTTTCCATAGGACCCCCCCCCGACACCACCCTACAGCAAAACCAGTGCCAAGGCCAGCGCATTAAGGGTATTCATGTTTGTTAACAACATGAGAGATTCTTTCTTCTCTTTTTTTTTTTTTTTTTTGATGGATACAATTCTTGTAGCTGTCCCAGAAATAAACGAATGGCAACCACTACAACTAAATGAGTCAGAAATTATGAAGAACTTTAAAGTCTAGCATTTATAAACAAAACAAAAATGGAGAGCAAATTAGTAGAGATTTAATGATTAATGTTTAATGACTATATATAGTGTGTATATATGGAACTATCAACGAATTACAATAGAGTATCAAGATATTTGTAGGCACTTGATCGTATCGGGCGACAGGAAGCGATGCAGATGCAGATACAGAGACGACGAACAGCTGTTAGAAGATAGAAATGAGGAAATGAGAAGAGGATGTAGACAAGGAACACTAACTTAACACTGTCAATTTTTCAACATGATCTAAGCTAATTTTTCAAAGAAAACCAAAAGCATATAACGAAAAACGAATACAAATTTTACACTCTTTGTACACACTGTAAACAAAACGTGAGAGAAACGAAGGAGCTACCCAGTTTAGATAAACTTTAAACAAAGAACTTACAAAATCAAACTTAGCAAAAGAATTGGGCGGAAGCCAAGTGGACGACGATGACGACGAAGAAGCAACAAATTTGATTAATAATAATTTCATCTGTGCCTTTCTCTACGAAAATATGTATCTATAAAAATATATATATTTACATTTATACATCTATATATACAAATTTATCAGATACTAGAACTCATCTAGACTCTCTCCAGTTCTCAAGCTCTCCCTTCTCCTACTTCCTATTCTGTCAAACACACACACAGAAACACACCACACCCACAAACAGAGAGCGAACCTTTACTCACCACAGACACAGACACAGTCAAGACAACAACCACGGAAAGATACGGACGTAAGCAGTGCGTTTTGTAGGGCAAGCCAAGCCAGGCGTATGAATGAGACAGCCGTAGGAGTAGGACATGGGCGGCACCAAGCAGTAAGTACTAAGCAGTGCAGTGCAGTGCAAGGACTAGCAGTGTCTCGCGCTGAAAACTATAGATGCAAATGCTACTCTGACAAAACTATTTACGAAGCAAAAAACGAATGAATAATTAAATAATTACTTAAGCCTATTAAAAAACCAAGAAAAAAGGAAAACCCAAATCGAAAGATTTATAAAGATAGAGATACAAAATAACGAAAAAAGGAAACGCATTCATAAAAATGCCAATAAAATTATAAGCAAATGCAAACATAAAGTTTATAGGTTAATGCGCTAGTAGTTTTGACTGTTTTTTTTTTTTGTAATTTTTTTATTGTAGCTGCTTGAAGTAAACTGAAATCAAATGAAACTGTATTCGTTTTCAGTTTTTCGTTGAGTGTGTTCCCTCTTTTCCATCCGTTTGTTTGTTTGATGAGGAGAGTAAGGCGACTACTCGCATAAAGAGCGTTTTTCTTGTTGATTAATAATTAGGTAAAAATGCTACAAAACATAAGTTAATTAAAGCAAAGCCAGCGACAAGCGCAAGCGCAAGCGCAAGCGGCAAGCAAAGCGAAAAAACCAAAAAACCAAATTAGACAAAGTTGCAGACGAAGCAAATTAAATTTAAAATTATAGCCATAAAGGTAAACGAAATGCAAAACTAAGTAAGTTTGCTTTTAGCCCCATGCAGGTACAAAGGTACAACCAGAGACACAGACAAAACCCAAGTCCCAAAAGCCAAACGAAAACCAAAACTAAAACCAGCAAAACAACATATTTGAGATGTAATTGTTTGTCAAACGAAACAAACCAGAGGAAAACCAAAGTCAATTTGGTCACTACTCGTATACCCACTGCTGTAACCGCTAAAACTAAAACTAAAACTAAAAAAAAACTGTTAAGAACAATAGCCATAGCCATAGCCATAGCCATAGCCGTGTGTAATCATTTCGTTGCGTGCAATTTGCGTATAATTTAACGATTCGATTGGTTCCACTCAAAATATGTACGCCTACCATAAACTGAGAACGCATATGTCAAATCAGCGAAACAAAATGCTAAAAGAAAAGCGAGAAACCAAAAACAAAACAAAAACACACAAGAAACACACACAAACGAGCATTATAAATTAAAGAGAATTTGAAAAGAACAACAACCCATTGTTAGCACGGGTGGGTACAAATGGGCGACCTGCTGCATCGATGCTTTGGATTCCTTCCCCAATCAAGTGGTGGCAGATTCATGAAGGTCTGCCAAATGAACTGACATGCATTTTACTTGACCAGCCAGACCGATGTGCAAAAATATGAATTTGTCTCTAGAAGGAGTCTGTTTCGTGTCAGTCCACAGTCGTGTCACGTTGCCATCGGGTTTTCGTGGCTCATCCCTAGCATGCATATTCATTATGGGACATGTACGATTGTGCTCGTAACCACATGCACTTGCAGCTCGGGCATTCCGAAACAGCAGCTTGGCTCTCTCAGCCCCTGTCCCGTCCAAGACTCCACACGCATGATCGTGGCACAGTTTAGCGTAGGATGACGTGGGGCGTCGTCTCCAGGTCTCCACTTCCCCCCATTCACCACCTGTTTGGGCCGGGGCATTAAAAATGGGTAAGTGACATTGCAGTTTTTGTGTCGCAGTCTCTCACGCGGTTTTGTTTGTATTTTGCGCTTTGTCTTATTGTCAATTTTCTCTTCATTGCATAACGATGGTGGTGCCCCCCCGCGCTTCCGCCCTACTGCTTGCTCTCCCTTCGGTGAAGTTCGCGCGGCAATAAAGCAGAGCCGCAAGCCGCAAGAGTCAAGTGAAAATATTTTGGCGCCGCTGTTGTAACATACCCGCCAGCGGGCCTGGCCTCCTCTCTCTCGCTCTCGCTCTCTCTCTCTCTCTCTCTCTCTGAAGCACTGCAAGAAAAGAGCTGCGAAATCGAAATTTGCATTCCACCAAGAGCACCGCAAGACTTTATGCATGAACGTTGTAAATTTATTTGCAGCGATATCTAAATATGAACATATCCGATACGACCCTCTGCAAGGGGATCTGATCATTGAGAATTTTCGCACAGTGTAGCTGACGCTGCACTCCACTCTCTTTTGCACTCAGCAACTCACCATCTCCAGTCAATCCTTCTTGCATCTCGCTCGCGCAACCTGCGCTCATTTGCCCGTGCGTTTGGTTTGCGTTTTTAATTAACGGTAGTTTCTTCTATTGCCTCACGAGAGATTGCAAATGAAGTAATTATCAAAGGAAAAAAAACGCAGGCAAAAAAAAATAGGAAGATGAAGAAAGAAACCCAGACATGAAAGAGTTACGACCAACATTGGGTTCAATTTCATCCGTTCATCCAACCATTCGACCATCCATCTAGCTCCCTCACTCTCACCCTAGCTCTCTCTCTCCCTCTCTATCCAAATTGCCGTCCGTTTTTCCCTGCCAAGAAATGCGTTCATGGTCAAAGTGTCAAACGTGACGCAACCGCAACAAATACTACCGCAACAATAACATATTTTGGAGGGCCAAGCGATTACAAAAAAATATATATACAAAAAACAAACAAAAAAAAAGCTGTTGCTGTTGAAAAACCTAACAAAAAACCAATGTAAAAATGTGCAACTATTTGGTCGAATGATTTTTGAGTGCCAAACTGTCCAACGCACTCGAAAAAAAAAAAAGAAGAGAATCATTGAATGTGATTATCTGCATAAGTATGTGCGTATGATATTCCACCAAGGCTATCGGTGGAATTCTCTTGCAAAAAGGGTCATGATGGAAGAGGAGATTGTCTATCAGTTGGGGGATCCTTTTTCCGCGAAGATCAGAATCTTGTATAATCTAATTCAATGAATGGATAAATACATAAAATACAATCAAATGGATAAATGGAATTGGAATTTGCAGGCGCAGAATGAATAAGTGATCGAATAAATGAATTTGAATGACACAGAAATTATATTTTACACCGAATGTTATCAATTTATGATCGTAGAATGGCTTTTCGATGTATTTAAATCTCTCATTTGTTGCAGGCAGTGCAGATGAAATTACAATCGAAATGTTGGCATCAGTTGCCAAAGACTTTGGGGGTCTTCTTATGGATAAAATCCTGTTATCGGTTAGCTAATTGATAACTAGGCATAATCGTCGTTATTAATCGTCGTCAGGGGGCCCACATGCGAAGTGATGGAAGTTTGGATTTCAACTTTGTTTAGTGGCGCGGCTATTATTTATTCACTGTTAACCGAATGGCTCTTGGGGCTGTTGGCAGCGGTGCTGCTTTGCTTACGAGTATTTCTTGACACTTTCACTTTTCTCATTAAGATATGAGCTCGACCTGGTCCGTTTAGGGCAGGGGCAAGAGCGCGACAGGTTTTCGCTGACAGAGCATACAGACCTTACGTGTACATACAGACGTACATATGCATATACGGAGCGACCCGACAGACCGGACAGGGCCCCTCCCCTCTTGCCATGCCCTGACTTGGGCCTAACCTTAAAAATCGGAGTGATTTCATTTGCATCTTCATTCATGCCCATTGCTCTCTTTTAGTGTCTCATCTGGCCCATTCC